TTGGGGAAGTATCCCCCAAAACAGTACATAGGACCCTTTGGGAAAGAGTTTCGAGGTTCAGGGCTGCAAGGTTCCCAGAGCCTCAAAAACCCCGTATTTAAGGAATATACCTTAAATTATAATAGGATCCCTTATATGATTTAAGGTATATTCCTTAATTCAGGGGTTTTGGAGTCTCTGGGTTGTGGTAGGGCCATTTCAGGGAGCAGGGCAGAGTCCCTCACCGCAAGCCGGGGGAAGTGATGGGCGGATTGCAGGGTTTATACCTTAAACTACCAAACCTTACTTTTTTGTAGGTTTTCAATGTAAACCCTAATATGGAATTTATAGGGACCCTACAAAAAAAGTAGGCCTTGGTAGGTTAAGGTAATCTGAACATGCTCTGGTAATTGCTAGGTTTAGGGTTTGGCTTTGCGAACCCCATCCCTGCCCTCTTGTGAAAAACCACGAACCCAACCGTCAATTCCGACATCCTTTCATCTAGAACTCTTGGTTGAATCCTTTCCCCTAGATCGGGTAGCAATACTATCCCCATATCATATTGAGTCCCTCAGTGCATTTCACAGCCCCATTGCAACCATTGAGGCCCCACTCTTGCTCTCCGAGCGTGCTCGTAAAGATTTCTCGAGAACCCTTCCAGTCCCCGTGAAAGAGCCCGAGTCACCCCAGTCTACTTGTAAATCTTGCGGCGCCAAGCTGCTCCTCCACAGGGATCGAGATGTTGATGGCCGCGCTCACCCGGGACACGCGCATCATGCCGGGTCAGCTGATGGACTGAGGGGCCAAGGAATCGGGACACCCTCATGAAACCGGGGTTGTATAAGGGTTCAGGGATACGGTGTTTATGGCTTTCGGTGTAGGGGCTTTCTGAATGCACAGGCTTCTGAACAGTTTAGGGTGTAGGATTTCGGCGTACGTTGGCATGTCGAGCTCTGCACCCGTTCCAGTTTCAAGGATTCAGGGTTACGTTAAGAGTGAATGATTCATTTTTTTGTGAGTGAGGAGGGGGGTTGGGGGTGTAGAAATTGCGCTTAGGGGTCGAGGTGGTCGAGGGTTCCGGGCAGGGTTTGGGGTTGAAGGGGCTATGGTTTACGGACGTGACATCCCAGCACCATCGAATCCCGATCCCGCTGGGGTCCCTGTAGGTGGCGTGCTTGCCCGATGAGTTTCCCAGGGAGCGCAATACGCATTGATCCATAAAGACAGCCCAGATCATAGAAGATGATACTTTGATAAAAGCAAACCAAAGCACGGAGGCTACAGCTGAAGTCATCAAGGGCTTCTAATTACATAAATGAATACGACTGCTTTACTTGCGAAGTAAGCTGGGCTCTATGAACGTCTCTCTCTCAAAGAGAGGGTCTTCGCCAGAAGAGCAGAATCGGCTTGCTGCTTCGAGCCGTGGTTTCACGTGAGGGAAGATTCCTTCAGTCCTGCAACTTATATGCAAGCATATATGCAAGTAAATAAGTGGGGGACAAGATATATATATATATATATATATATATATAGAGATGTTTCTATTTTTGTATATATATATATATATATATATATATATATATTTCTGTGTGCGTGTATATAAATACATATACATACATACGTTCATGGATGTATGGACCCATGGATGGATGCAGGGATGGATGGCTGCATAGACGCATGCATGCATGCATGCATGCATGGATGGACGGACAGACGGACGATGGATGGATGGATAGATGGATGGATGGATGGATGGATGTGCATATATATACATATATATATATATATATATATATATATACGTATATACAAACACATATAGCCAAGATCTGGATATCCTATCGATCTGCCTGTCTATTATCCCCCCATCTGACAGAATGTACAAGGTGTATGTATTTGTTAATAACTTGTAGTATGTACAGAAGCATAAAATCAAAATACATACGCACATGCATGCATGCAGGCATGCATGCTTGCTTGCATACACACACATATATATATATATATATATACATACACGCACACACACACACACACACACACACTCACTCACTCACTCACTCACACATACATATACACACATAAACTTACATATACACAAATACATGCATACATGCATACATACATAACTGGCTGGACACCACAGGGGCCTTCATGATTGGAATACGTGCATATGCTTGTGCAGCATAGTATATGTTCTTGACATGGCGGGTATAGGTACGTGCTTGTATGTGAAGCTGAAACCCTTGAACGCTTCGACCATGGCTACACTCTAAAGCCAAGCCTCCAACTTTTGATGCGCAACCCGAAACCCGGCGGACCCTTTATCCTATGCTTCGCACGAAGTTGCGAGCTCTGGTCGAAAGTCCTGTATCCCAAGCGCGTATGGCTTAGGGCTTACTACAAGTTCGCGACTGTTGGCATAGGGTTTTGGCCATGACTATTGAACCCGCGAGAAAGAGGATCACTTCCTGAGCAATTTCAGTGCGGACCTGCGAAGCAGAAGATCCGTTGCACATGCACCCGAGGCCGAATATAACCCTAAGCGCCCAGCACTCAACTAAGGTTGTAAGCGACTAGCAGAGCTCTTTAGGGCTTTAGGGTTCTACCTGGTACAAGCAACGAGGATAGTCTGGGCTCCAGGTGCCGCAACCATGCAGAGCATAGTGCTAGGGACTCCGAACGCTACGATTACTTGGAGGTTCATGGATCAGTAGGGTTATAAGTAGGGTAACTATACTTCTAACCCATATCAGGGGACTTAGAACCCAACTTATAACTACCCCTGAACCTCCAAGTAAGGACAAAGAATGCTACGATTCGGAATTGTAGAAACGTGGCTAGTTAGGAGGTTTTTGCTTGTGAGAGCTGTGTAAGTAGCTGTTCTTTGGTTTTCCAAGATGTTGGCGAAGCAATCCCCTAAGGCTCCATGTGCCCATATAGTACATACTTAGGCCTTAAAGTACCTATATAGTGACCTAAGTATCTAGTGTAAAGGCCCACATAGTATATACTTAGGCCTTAGAGTACCTATATAGGGACCCCTTTAAGGCCTAAGTATCTATTATGAAGGTACATGGAGCCTTTGGGATCAAGGCAGCCTACTCGAGGAGCTTGTGAGGGTGGAACTACGGCTGATGATTTGAATCCTGCATGACTCATAATAAGGAATATACCATTATTCCCATGGTTTAGGGTCCTTCAGGTAATGCAGGATGTATATCATCAACCATAAGACTGCAGATTTTCGGAAAGTTAGGCCGCCGTCCCAGCAAGCCCAAGACACCTTCATTCAGAAATATGTCTTTAGCCACAATTGGAAGCCCAACGCAAGTCCAGTTTTTGCAAAGAAATCAAGGGGTTTTGCGTTTCTGCTTCCGCTCAGTTCTCGATCACGTATAGGAAGCCTCGTGTTCAAGCTTCCTGTGGCTTGGGTCCAGATTTGGATATGGGGATGTTTGTAGTTTGGCGCCTGGGAACTTGGTGACTTGAATGTAGTTTTTACGCTTTCGGATTGAACGTTTCAGTTTCAGGTCGGGGACATGGGTTTGTAGTAGTGCTTGGGTAATGCGTTGTGTGATATACCAGACCTAGAGCATAAACCTTCAACCCGACACCGTTCCCTCTGAACTCAAACTGCACAGGCAGTCTGTACTCTATGCATGATAAAGCCTACATCCTAACCCCTAAACTCTTCACCTTTCTACACCCTAGATCCTAAACTCTACACCCGATACCCTGCATCAACCAGTCCTCAACATATGGAGCCATCTCGGCCACGAGTGCACTTTTGCCGAATGCACTGCAGCGATGATCCCTCAGCTCACAAAAGCGCTTGGCTAAAGGTCGGCATTGGGTTATGTGTATTTGTGCAGGGGTGTACGTGTTAGGTTACACACACACACACACATATATATATATATATATATATATATTATACTTACATACATACACACACACAAACTTACACATACATACATACATACATGCATACATACATACATTCATACATACATACATACCTGCCGTAGTACATACATACATTAGTACATACATACACTCATAGCTATGTACAGATGCATATATATATATATATATATATACATATGTGTATATATATATACACAGATATTAGCGTTTGTGTGTGCGTGCACATAAATGTCAGTTACGTGCATATATGTCTATACACACGCATATATTTATATCTGTATATATATATATACATATATATATATATATATATATATATACATACATATGCATGTATATGCACGGTATTTACCCAGCATATAGCACATTGCATGAAGGGCTTTTGGACGCGGGTTTGGGGATTCGGATTTACTAGCTATATCATGGTATAGTGTACCCCCGAACCCCCTGTGGCTTAGATGGAGGGCTGCTGCCCTAAACCCTCAACCCAAGCCCGAAACCTTCAACCCCAGATATAGGATTTCAGACAGCACTTCCGCTCTTCCTTCGGCTCCATAAGCTCGAATGTTTGTAGGGTTTATGGTTTATATGGCTCATGGGTGCTTATAGTGTTTAGGGGTGTAGGGTGTAGATGATGTTAGTGGTTTGGGGTTTAGGGCCTGGCCTGGCTCCATCATCCGACCCAACTAAGTGCGCTAGCACCCGCCCCCACCCAGCGTGTTTGCAAACAGGCCCAAACGCCTAAACCTTACAGCCCCAAGCCCAACTTCAAACATGCACCTCACCATGCATCTAGGTTTCGGGTCTCCGAGCCCTTAAACCCTTACCTTCTCGAAGCTCTGAACCCTAAACCTGTGGCATAAGCCGATTGCATTTATCCAAAACCTGAGCAAATTCCTCGACGAAGCCTGTATATACAGTTCAGCGTTCAGTGAATCCCTCCATGTAGATCTCGATCTGGAGGTCATATCGCCAAAGCCCTCCCTTGCTTTTAGTTTGAGGAATCGCGGACCGCGATTTGGGGACTATGACCCAAAGTAGCCACTAATAAAGAACGGACGGCCGCGACCAAGGGTCCTTTAGACGTAGCCATGGACTTGTTTCTGGCCGGCCGCCCATTGTCGCCCCATGCGGTGGGCAGGCCTTGCTGAAGGGTTAGGAGCAGTTGAGCTCAGCACTCAGGTTTTTGTTAGCGAACCTCAGCTGACTGGATCTAAAAGAAAAAACTAGGATTGGAGTTTCTCGCCTTGAGGAAGGACACCGAGCTGATCTTGGTTTGCAGAAGGCTGCGCTGGAAAACCGTGAAAACCCAGAGCACAAAACCTAAGGCCCCACCGCTTCGCCGGTTTGCGAGCTAAGCCAAAGCTCAAGCTACGCAGGTCCTAAGCCCTGAGCCCGACACCCTACACCCCTAAACCCCTAAACCCCTAAACCCTAAACCCCTAAACCCCTAAACCTTAAACCCCTAAACCCCTAAACCCTAAACCCCTAACCCCTAAACCCTAAACCCCTAAACCCCCCCAAAAAAGCCTAAACCTAAACGCTTAAACGGCAGGTTCGTAGCTGTTGATCCCGTCTGTTCCTAGACCCTCCAACTACCCTCTATTAGACCCTAAATGCCCCTTATTTGGGACCATATACCCCTAATTGAGGGTACAAGGAGGGTCCTGGTTCCGTCCAACTCTGCATGTTCAGACCGGCTCTTGACGTCTGCGGATGCGAGCTGGGGTTTAGGGTTTAGGGGGTTGGGGGTTTAGGGGTTTAGGGGTTAGGGTTTAGGGTTTAGGGGTTTAGGGTTTAGGGTTTCCCTAAGTTACCATGTACCCAAATTGTATATACATTGGCCCCAATGTACCTATATAGGGACTACTTTAAGGCCAATGCGATTTAGGTACATGGACCCTTAGGGTTTCGGGTTTACGGTTTAGGGTTTAGGGTTTAGGGTTTAGGGTTTAGGGTTTAGGGTTTAGGGTTTAGGGTTTAGGGCTTGGGGTTTTGGCTTTTTGGTTTAGCTCGTTTTGGGGTTTGGGGCTAAGGGTTTCGCGGGGTTTGGGGGTGTAGGGGTTCTGGAACTTTGAAGGGCGATGATTTGAGGGATTGAATCTTGCTTGCGCCGTCCTTGAATATTTCCTTCATGTTGGAAGATGGGTCGGGGGTGTAAGTTTGGCGGTTAAGAAAACAACGACGCGAAAAGGTGTTGCAGCAGTCTACAGGAGCGATCTGCAAAGCTTAATGCTTGGGCAGTTTCTGAGTTGGGAAGCTAATGGTTTGCACTAGTGGTTCGGTGCATGTTGAAAGAAGGAACGTAAGAATCCTGGGCTGCATCCGAATTCACCCTTATTCAAACTTGGAATCGTGGCGTGGGCCTCTCCGGACTTAGAGACATGCTTTCCGGCTTGCTCCATAAGCCTTACGCTTCCGCAGATCAGCACAAGTCGCGGCGACTTCTGCATCTGTCGAGCCTTGTTCTGCAGTTGAGGGAGAGTTTGGTTATCTAACAAGAGCCGTCACAAGCATCATATCATCATCATGTTTGTGAGTTTATTTCGGGTTTAGGGTTTAGGGTTTAGGTGAGTTTAGGGTTTAGAATTTAGGGGTTTAGGGTACAGGGCCTCGGGTTAACGGGCTCATGCCGGCGAATGAACAAGTTCACTCGGAGCGGCTACCGACCTAGGGGACCTTTAAGGCGTTAAGGTATGACTCCACCCTTATAATTATGCATTTTTTTTTTCAATTTAACCGTGCGATTGACATTGAGCAAGACAACAGCCCCAAGCTGGACTCCCTCTTGGCGGACACGATTGACCCACTCGCCTTGATTACAGGCGACATTACGAGGGTGGAGCTCTTCTTGAAGAAGATGAAGGAGACAAGATCTGTCCGCGTCTCGCGCTTTCGCCAGCAGCTGCCTTTGTCATAAGCTCCGCCAGATGCCTGGAAGCTCGCTGGCGGAGGCGCTACAAGGACTGCGTGAGTGCGCGTGCCAGCCGTGGCAGCTGCCAGACTTAAGAGTTGCAGGCCCTCGTGGCTACTCGCAACATGACAGAATTTCATCCACACATTTTCGAACCAAGGACAAGTATGACCGCAAGATGCACCGTCAAACAATTGAAAGAAGCTGTCAAGTTCACCTTTGGCAACAATCCCGCCAACCAAGTTCTATGCTTTGACGGGACTGACAAGCTTCTGGAGCAATTGGACGGTAAAAGTGTTCGTGTTAATCACAACACCCACGCTGGGTCAGTCATCAAGGTTTCACAAGCGTGATGACAGAAGCGCTCACCTCCTCCACTGCCGACATTGTCAGCATCATCTTCATAATACCTAAAAACCATAAAGAAAATGATGTAGTATGCTTGTTTCCCTTTTGGTTGTCGGCTCTTCACTTCCGGTCTAAGTTCAGAACGCACAGACTGCCACTGAGTGAGAGAAGTTTGGAACGTCTGGAAACATTTGAAGCCTTCCGAACCCTCGTGCCCTCCAGCCCTCCTGCTGCGGTGTCCAAGCGAGGTTGTTTGCTGCACCACCTTAGAACCCTAAACCATACCCTAAACCCCTAAACCCTGAACCCAACACCCTAAATCTACAGATTTCTTATAGACTCGACCCCTTTAGGGATCCCTTATAGAACCCTATAACACTAAACATATGGAACTCTTAAAGCCCTGGACCCTAATCCCTAAACCCGGAAGACCTTCCCTAGGATCCCAAGGACCGAAGAATAAGGTACTTGGGTTCAGGGTTTGAGGTTCAGGGTTCGGGGGTTTAGGGTTTAGGATATGGTTTTGCAGGCTGGTATAGCTATGTGGCAGAATTTATGATCATTACCATGCGGAGCCTTAATAATTACCTATACTATTGTGGGGCTTCTTTATCATAACTATAGTAGCATGAGTCCCAAAACCCTATTCTAGTTATTAAGGCCCCTGTAAAAGATCATTAGGTACTTGGACCCCAAAGGTCCCGAGGGCCCTGAGCTTTATCTGTGGGTTTAAGGCTTTTGGTTTCAGTGTTTTAGGGTTTCGGGTTTAGGGCATCCCATAGTTAAGAAATAGAAACCCTACAATCCCTGAGCCTCAAACCCCAAACCCTATACCTTAGACCCTATGTACCCCCAAGGGTCCAAAGGACCCAATAATCAGGTACTTGGGTTTAGGATAGTAGTTATGTAGGTTAATATCTGGGAGAGTATATGATTATTGGGCACTTGGACTCTTAGGGTAAGCTCTAAACCCTAAACCCTACACCCCTAAACCCTAAACCCCTAAACCCCTAAACCCTAAACCCCTAAACCTTAAGCTCTAAACCTTGAAAGACTAAACACCTATTTGCATACCTTAAAATCATCCCAGGGAACTTCGCTGCTGCGCCGGCGCTCGAAGGATTCTCAGGAAGGGCGCTGGGCCACAGGCTCCGAAACCTCAGGGCCGTCGGGGTTCCTGGGGTTCAGTTGGAACATGGCTTCAGGGAGAAAAGGACCCCAAAATAAGGTACCCCGGCCCTAACTTCGGAAACTCCTACCTTATAGCATCCCTTAACGGATCCTTTTTAAAGGGAGCATTAAAGTAAAAGCCAGAAAGTTGGAACATGGATTCAGGAGGAATAGTGCTAGGATCCCTTATACACTACATACGGGCATGAGCATAATGATGTTCCAACTTTCTGGCTTCTACTGTAAGGGATCCGGAAAGGGGTGCGTAAGAGAACCGTAGATTTAGGGTTTAGGGTTTGGGGTTCAGGGTTTAGGCTTTAGGGCTTGCAGGGTGTAGGGTTTCGGGTTTAAGTTTTCGGGTGGGCTGACAGATCTTGGGAGCAAATGTGGGGGCCCTGCATAACTACTAGTAGTGGTGGTAGACCCCAACTGTAGAAACTGTAGTAATCCTAATGCCCGAGCCCTGAGCTCAAAGCAAGCCGACAAATCTTATCAGCATTCCTGCAACGCGAACCCTCAACGTTTATAGAGATACCGAAGTTTTAGCCCTAAACCCTAAACCCTAAACCCTAAACCCTAGACCCTAAACCCTAAACCCTAAACCGTCGGCTCTTGCGCCTCAGGTGCCGCGCGTCTGACCGTGAGCGCCTGTGCTGCCTCAGCTTCGATGCTGTGGCAAACAGGCCACTTGGACGACTTCTTCGAACACCACTTCATTAGCATGCTTTAGGGCTTGTATAGTTTAGGGATTAGGGATTTAGGGATTAGCATGCTTTAGGGCTTGCACGGTTTGGGGTTTAGGGTTCTAGGGTTCGGGGTAAGGATGCTTGTACGGTTTCATGTAGGAACCTGTCCTTTAAGTTTGCCTACCAGAATGCTTCCCCTGGAAAAGAAATCTGCCAAGCCCTTGGCTGCGCGCAGAAGCAAGTGCTAGCAGAGGGGATGTAACCGGCAAGGTAAAAACCGTCTCCTCCGCGCTTCGCTTCCTAACAAAACTAAAATGTAAAAGGGGGTGAGGTAAGAACTGAAAGTCCAACCACAAACTATGACGGTGCAGCTCATCACGTTCGTGACACAACTCCGCGCCGCGTCAGCATCACAAGCCTCGACCGCCTGGGCCCCACATCCGTTTGTAGAGCAGGCCATCTTCGCTCAAAGCAAGACCGTCAATGCTGCCAAACCATTTAACTACCGTGCCATTGACCTGCCGCTTGGTGGCCGGTCTTGACCACCACTCCGCGAGATTCATCATGGTTGCGTGTAAGTCGCCTGGTGCTTGCAAGTTGACCTCAATCAACGACTGCAGTTCAGCATTGCGCAGGGTCATTGGCGAAGCAGAGGTTGCTGCATGCCGGGCACCCCTGTCGTTAATCAGCAGACCGTCAAGAGGTCCCCAAACACCCGCGACTCGGTGCAAAGACTGCCCATACCATGTGAATGCAAGAACAGCTCTCTGCCACATCCACAGCCAGTGCAACCACCACCCATCATGTTACCAATGCCATGCACGGAATGGAAACTGAAATGGCTTTCAACTGCACCAACCGCGCCCCAGGACTGCACTCTCATCGCAGCCATGGCACTATCTCCATAGTCAGCAGAATCCTAAACCCTGAACCTTAAACTTTTTTGGGGCATGTGCTGCATGACATGTATTCACAATGTACTCCAGTTTTGGCGATCATGCCCTGCTGAAGGTTGCACTGCATTGTGCATACCCAACCCCCCCAAAGTAGGTAGAATAATGGCCAAATACCTATAACAGGCCATTATTCTACATGCATCGGGGGTCCAGGTACTATAGGGCCCGCAAGAATTGCCTATACTTTTCTGGGGGGCGCCGTACTATAATCACAGTATAGTAGGCCCCCAAACGCTCTTCTAATAGACCCTTTCAAGGATCCCTTGAAAGGGAACCCCATTCCAACTATTGGGGCCCCTATCTTAGAAGCTGCCCCGACCCTGTAATAGTGGTACAATAGGAATATAGGGTTCCTTTAAAGGGATCTATAAGGGGTACCTTTAAGGGTTCCTTTAAGGGATCTGTAGGGTTTTAGGGTTTAGGGTCTAGGTTGATGATATAAATCCTGCATTACCCATAATAAGGAATATACCATAATTCCCATAGTTTAGGGTCCTTAAGGTAATGCAGGATTTTTATCATCAACAATAGGAATATAATCGGGCCCTACTATATAATCCTTATAGTCACTATTACAGGGTGGGGGCAGCTTCTAACGCCTATATTACCAAGATTACACCTTTGGTCATGCCCGACACAGCGGCCTAGGGTTTAGGGTTTAGGGGTTTAGGGTTTGGGTTTCGCAAAACCAACTTCAATGAGTTGTTCAGACTGCCCCGATGGTTAAAAAGCGCAAGGCGTGTTCCAAAAGAGACGATCGCAACGCAGGTGTTCGTAACTTGGACCCGTGGGAGTCAACTACTGGACCTGTCATCATTGTCCTGCACCCGGTGGCAGCATGTGATAGCCCATGTGCAGACAGCCATCCAACCTAACAGAACAATCACCTGTAGCCCACTCGTGCACCAAGCCTTGTTGATGCAAATGCCAAGCCGGATCATCGTAAGACGGATTTTCAAACGCAGCATCGCTCCAGGCGTGCCTTCGTTTCACAATGGACCAGCAACGATAGTAAGGCACTGGGCACATCAAAGTTCCTCGAAAGAGTCCATTTGGACCCTACATACGTGCGTGAAGACAGACAGAACAGAACAGAACAGACATGTATACATGTATGTATGCATGTATGTATGTATGCATGTATGTGCGTATGTGTGTGCATGTGTGTAATTAGTAATTATGCGTGAAAGCCTTCAAGCCCTACACCCCCTAGCCCACAAATTCCCGTGCAAGCCCCCAGGCCCCGTGAACGGCGCCGCCAGAAGGCAGGCACCTGAAACCCTTTCCCGGCGGATGAATGAAGCTGCCGAGGCTTCCTGTTTAGGGCGCATCGTTCCCCTAAGGGTCCATGTACCCATACAGCATATACATTGGGCCCAATGTACCTATATAGGGAGTACTTTAAGGCCAATGTATATACTATATGAGTACATGGACCCTTAGGGTTCGCGGTTCCTTGAAGGGTTCCTATAACCCTAAACCCTGAGGGTTCAGGATTTATTACTCATGGGTGTTTGGGGCTTTAGGGTTTAGAGGTGCAGGGTTCAAGGTTTAGAGTTTCGAGTTTAGGGGGTTTAGGGTGTACCAGCCGGTGTTTGGGCCTTCAGTTCAGCGGATCGTTACTTGCTACTACGCCGATGTTCGAGAGCTTGGTAGTGCGTGGGTAAGTGTGGGCGGAACCCTAAACCCTAACCCCAAACCCTGAACCCTAAAACCCTAAACCCTAAAACCCTAAACCCTAAAGGCGGAACCCTTCACAGAGCTTCGAGTTCAGGGCTCGGGGGCTTCCGAGCCGAGGCTTTCTGGGTTTTAGCCTTTACGGGTCTTGGGCTTCGGAGGATTTATGTAGGGTTAAAGGATCATGCGGTTGGTGGTTTAAATCCTGCATTACCTTATGGCCCCTAGACTATGGGAATTCTGGTATATTCCTTATTGTGGCATCAACCGTGGGACTTAGTAGCTAAGGTTATTTTCGGGTTATCTCTATACTTATACATGCCCTGCCCGATTCGACCCGATCGATACCGATCCACCCGACCCGATTCCCGGCAATCTGTTGCGATTTACCGATCCGGAATTGAACCTAGCACCGTGTGGGTCTGAGCGTAAGGGCTTAACCGTCAGTCCAGAAGCAGCGATGGGAGTGGAGGGAGGGGACGGCAGGCCAGGGAGGCAAAAACGAGTTGGCTGCTACCAACTCGATTCAGGCGGCGGGAGGCAAAAGCAGTTAGTGGCTGCCACAAACTCGATTTGGGTTTCTGGGCAGGCGGGCAGGCGGGGCGGGGCGAGGGCAGGGCAGGGCAGGGCGGGCAGGGCAGGGCAGGGCAGGGCAGGGCAGGGCAGGGCAGGGCAGGGCAGGGATAGGGCAGGGCAGGGCAGGGCAGGGCAGGAGGGCAGGGCAGGGCAGGGAAGGGCAGAGCGGGAGGCAAAATCGAATTTGTGGATGCCGCTCGATTTGGGTTTTTGGGCAGGGCAGGGCAGGCAAAATCGAGTCACTGGCAGGCAGGCAGCAGGGCAGGGCAGGGCACAGGGCGGGGTAGGGCAGGGGCAGGGCAGGCAGGGGCAGGGGCAGGGGCAGGGCAGGAGGGCAGGTGGCTGCCACTAATTTTGGTTTTGGTGGGCAGGGCAGGGTGGTGCCAGCGGTTTTTCTTGTGCTCTTGGCGGTTATTGGTCATTTCAATATTTCGATTCCGGTTGGGAAAGGGTTGAAATGACACTGCCGGAGATTGAGCCCGCGACCCTGCCTTATACGCCCCCTGTTGAACGGCCGCCCCCCACCTTCGTCTAGTCGCCCATAGCTCAGCGGGCAGGCGGGTTTACTCAAGTGCAGTAACTGATATAGATTGCATTTACTGATCACGAAGCTACAGTTAATTGCATTTACTCAGTGCAGTTTCTCCATGCATTGCATTTACTGTGCATCATGTTGCGGGCAGGTCGTTTCGGAGCTCAAGAGATCTCCGAAACTCCGCGACGGCATGGTCGTGGAGGACGAGGCTGAGGCCGATGCCGAGGGGGCATTGGTCTTCCTGGCCAAGGAGAAGCAAAGCCTGGACCATCTCCTGGCGAAGCTCCAAATTTTTGAGGTGATGGCCAAGAAATCCGTGGCGGTGGCCAAGTTAAAAAGAAGGTCCGACGCCGTAGCGGCTAAGGCACGCTACGAGCTTGCGAGAATGAAACAGGCCCATTTAGCCTCCCTGCTGCTGCTGTGGCATTCTGGTCGACTGTCTGACATCAAGAACCTCGTCCTGAATTGGGACCTGCGAAAAGAGAAGACAGCTCGCGGCCTTCAATGGGTCATGGACCCAGTGGAGTTTAAAACGAAGTGGCGTGCTGTGGACGCAGATGTCCGCGAGGCGCGCTTTTTGCATTGCATAGTCCACATTCAATCTGCCGCATTAACTGCATTTACTGTCAGGACCCAGGCAAAATCCTTCACAAGAAGGTGGCGGAGGCTCTCTCTGAGTTTCTGCGTAGGCACCGGCCAATTCTGGTTAAGAGCCTCGGCCAAAGAGCCAGGCATAATGTCACCTTTCGAGATGAGATTCACGGCGAGGGCGCCAGTGTCTGCCAAACGCTCTTTCCCGGCTATTGGCCGCAAAATCAGGCACATACGTTTGTGCAGCACACCTTTAAGAAAGTGCTGGGGTGTTCAGAGAGGGTGGTCCGTAAGGCCTTGTCTCAGGCCATGACTCCCGACCTGCTTCGTGAGCATGGGGTGCACGAGGCTGCTGTATACCAGCAGCTGCACCATTCAAGGGCGGTCCATGATCAAAATTACGTCCGTGGACTGCGAAACTCCCTCAATGCGCTGCAGGCTACTCTTTTCCGCTGGCAGTAGCCCTGTGCAGCAAGAGCGCTATGAATCCTTCCGGCTGGTCAAATGCTCGTGTCAAAATTCTGCACCACTTTCATTGCATGCATTTGCTTGTACCATTGCGCTTGATGCCCGTTTCATTGCATTTACTGCTTGCATCATTGCATTTACCCATCCATGTTTGCCCCCAACTCAGGTGAGAAAACATCTTCCAGATCTTCCCGGTCAACATCTTCTGGCTTCTTGGTGGCTGTGGCTCGGCTGCATGTGGCGGTGCCTTTGGGTTTCTTTTGCACCCTTCTGTCCTCAACTCCGGTGAGAAGAGATCGTGGACCTCTTGCTGCTGGCTTCTCTCTGGTTCCTTGGCGGCATTTATATAAGTCTTCATTCTGAGCTTTTTGTGTCAATCAAGCTGTTTTTGTAGCCCTTTGATTGCATTTACTGCTTTCATCATTGCATTTACTGCTTGCATCATTGCATTTACCCATCCATGTTTGCCCCCAACTCAGGTGAGAAAACATCTTCCAGATCTTCCCGGTCAACATCTTCTGGCTTCTTGGTGGCTGTGGCTCGGCTGCATGTGGCGGTGCCTTTGGGTTTCTTTTGCACCCTTCTGTCCTCAACTCAGGTGAGAAGAGATCGTGGACCTCTTGCTGCTGGCTTCTCTCTGGTTCCTTGGCGGCATTTAAGTCTTCATTCTGAGCTTTTTGTGTCAATCAAGCTGTTTTTGTAGCCCTTTGATTGCATTTACTGCTTTCATCATTGCATTTATTGCTTGCATCATTGCATTTACCCATCCGGGTTTGCCCCCAACGCAGGTGAGAAAACAGCTTCCAGATCTTCCCGGTCAACATCTTCTGGCTGCATGCGGTGGTGGTCTTGGGTTTCTTTTGCACCCTTCTGTCCCCAACTCAGGTGAGAAGAGATCCTCCAAACTTGGATCCTCGACTGCTTTTACTACAAGGGAGCATCGCCTCCAAACTTGGACCCTCGACTGCATTTACTGCACTGGAGCATCGCCTCCGAACTTGAACCCCCAACTGCATTTACTGCCTTGGCGAGCAGAGCGCTTGCAAGTTGAAGGGCGGCATGATAATTGCGTTTACTGATCTAAAACAAAATGCAAAAGTCAACAACAAGAGCACCAGTAAATGCAGTTGAAGTTTGATTACTGCAATCGCAGAAAGGGGGGGCAGTAAATGCAGCCCTGGCAGAGAGAACAAAAGTATTTCAGGGTGGTTTGTTTGCATTTACTGAAATACATTGCATTTACTGCCGCCGGCGCGCAGCGCCGGCGCCTACGAAAAAAAAGCTGTTCCCAGTAAATGCAATCAGGGAAAAGCTGCTGACGAGAAGGAGATTTTTGGGTCAATGCAATTTGCAAGAACCTCTTTCCAAGGCAGTAAATGCAAAGTCTGACCTGCATAGGTGGAAAACAGTAAATGCAATGCCAGCATCGACCAAATAAGGGATGATAAATGCAGTGCAAGGCACGAAGCACTTCTTGAGAGACGAGCCCTTAACCCAGGGTGTTGGGTGAGCAGTGGTTTAGACCCCGTATTCATTTACACAGGTATTAGGACACCTGGGGCTAGAGCACCTAATTGCCAGAGGGGTTTGGCCGCTTACTCAATAGTCGAGGGGGCTCTTATCTCCGAAGCTGCTCACCCAATACCCTGGGTCTAGGGCGTAGGCATGGTCTAGAACCCAAATAGCAGTAAATGCAATGGAAAACAGCAGTAAATGCAAACAACTGCAAAAGCTGAAAACAGTAAATGCAATTTCTCTTCGCAGCGAAGCAATAGCACCGACAGTAAATGCAATGGCACAGGCAGTAAGTGCAAGTCTACACAGGGCAAATGCAAATCTAGAGGCAGTAAATCAACCTTGACAAGGTTTGGAAAATGGACATCTTCAGATCTCCGAGGATGCTCTGGTGGTGACTCGTCAGCAAGATTCGGGTGAATTCATGCAGTCCATTTGTACTTACCCAGCATGTCTACAGGAAGGCTCAAGCAATCAGCACTGAAGGCACGCCTAGTAACCTAGTATCCTCATTGCAACATGGCCGCAGAGTGGCTCCACTTGAAGGCTGACGAGGTGGTCAAGATCAAGGTCAAGGGCGACGGCAATTGCATGCTGCGGGCATGCTATCGCTGGAGCTCAGACCCAGAAGGCAAAATTCGCAGAGATCAAACAGGCCTGCCAGTCCTGAAAGCCGACTTCCGGGCCGAGGAAGACGGCCACCGGCTTCTCCGGAAGCAGGTGGTCGAGTACGTGGAGGCTCGCCCACGCCTGATGGAAGAGATCCTCGAGCTGGAGGGCGACGACTGGCTGGAGAAGCAGAAGCAGAACAAGACGTTCTCGGACACCCATGTACTGCGGATCCTGACGGAGGAGGGGCTACAGTAACTGCAATAGGGATGGCTTAATGACTAGGGATATGTGCAATAAATAAGGTTTACTTTTGTTTTTTAATGTTCTGCTTTAGTGGAGGTATTGGGTCGGCCAATCATCGCCTTGTGCCGAAACATGCTGAACGGCTTCGTCTACGACGAGCAACACTACCCCAGGGACAAGGAGATGCAGAAGCAGGATCCCATCTACCTCTACTACGATGGGTCCATCCACTATGACCTCGTTGATGAAGAGTGGCTAAAGGCTTTGCTTGTATCCAAAGGGCTGTCCGCAGATGACTCAGACCAGGGCTTCGTCAAAGATGGTCTCTTCGTGATCCCCGCAGAAGCGAAGAAAGAAGAGGGCGGCAAGAAACGCAAGCAACCCCCTCGCTTGAAAAGCAAAAAGACCATCAAGCCTGATGGCCTGGTGGCGGCCGACGGTGACGAAGCCCATGGCGATGAGCCCAAGTACGTCGACCCCCGCACTCTCTTGGCGGGAAATCTAACCAGCCGGCGCTACCGCAGCTCCGGTGAACACCTGAAAGAGGAAACGTCGATAGCAGTAAATGCAGTTGGGTAGAGTAATACTATGGGGTGTAGCTCGGTAAATGCAATGGCTCCAAAGTTTTTTTGGGTGTAAATGCAAGCCTGTCCAGGACAGGGACTGGTTCCTTGAGGGAGCTTGGGACGGCGCCGTTCCCCTGCGGGACCCTAGCTTGTCCGACTCGGTGGCTGCGTCTTACTTCGACAGGTTTTTGGGCCTAGTGCAATTCGTGGACGATTACAATGAGGGTCAGGTGCTGGAGTCTGTCTGGCACTATTTGGACCTGGAGAACGTGAAAGCCTGGCTCTACTGGCTCGTCGAAAACCCCAGGGACATCAAGGCCACGGGCGCCCAGAAAGCCTACACGCCATCCTACATCAACCCTCTGGTGCGCACTTTGAGGGCACTGGGCAAGTGCTTCATCGGAGACCCGGACACAGACCAGGATGCCGCAGAGTGGTTCAAGGGCTTGAAGCTCCTGCTTCAGAAGGATGGGTTTATGAAAGCGCAGTAAATGCAATACATAAACAGGTTGCAGTCAGTAAATGCAATTAACCGTAGGTTTGCTTTCGGTAAATGCAATGTAGTCGAGCGTATCTCATCATGTTGCGGGCAGGTCATTGCGGAGCTGAAAAGATCTCCCAAATTGCGAGAAGGCATGGTCATAGAGGAGGAGGGTGATGCTGACGCCGAGGGAGCACTGGTTTTCCTCGCAAAGGAGAAGCTTTCCTTGGACCACCTTCTCGCAAAGCTCCACCTGTTCGAGGAGAAAGTAGCCAAGAAGGCGGTTGCAGTGGCAAAGCTGCAAAGGAGATCAGACGGCGTAGCTTCGAAGTTGCGCTATGAGCTTGCCAGAATGAAGCAGGCTCACCTAGCCAGCCTGCTTCTTCTCTGGCATTCCGGCCGATGTCCGACATTAAGAACCTGGTTCTCAATTGGGACTTGAGAAAAGAGAAGACAGCGCACGGCCTGCAGTGGGTCATGGACCCTGTTGAATTCAAGACGAAGTGGCGAGCTGTGGACGCGGACGTCCGCGAGGTGCGGTTTATGCAGTGCATAAGACAGTAAATGCAATAATAATTTTCAGGCTGCCGCAGTCACTGCATTTACTGAGCTAGTTAAAACCAGTTTTGCTGCAGGACCCAGGGAAGATTCTTCACACCCCAACTCAGGTGACCAGAATACTGGGACCTCTTCCTGCTGGCTTCTCTGTGGTTCCTTGGCGGCATTTAAGCATTCAGTCTGACTTTCAAGCTTGTCCCCAACTCAGGTGAGAAAAGATCTTCCAGCTCCTCGTGCTGGCTCCTCTGTGGTTCCTTGGCGGCATTTAAGTCTTGTTTCCGAGTTTGTTGTGTCCGTCAAGCTGTTTTCTAGCCCCTTTATTGCATTTACTGCTTTCAGCATTGCATTTACTGCTTTCAGCATTGCATTTACTCCTCGAAGTTTTGCCCCCCAACTCAGGTGACCAGAACACTGGGACCTCTTCCTGCTGGCTTCTCTGTGGTTCCTTGGCGGCATTTAAGCATTCAGTCTGACTTTCAAGTTTGTCCCCAACTCAGGTGGGAAAGGATCTTCCAGCTCCTTGTGCTGGCTTCTCTGTGGTTCCTTGGCGACTGCATTTACTGTGTAGGAGCACCTCCTTGAAATTTGACCCTGGACTGCATTTACTGTGTAGGAGCACCTCCTTGAAATTTGACCCTGGACTGCATTTACTGTGTAGGAGCACCTCCTTGAAATTTGACCCTGGACTGCATTTACTGTGTAGGAGCACCTCCTTGAAATTTGGCCCTGGACTGCATTTACTGTGTAGGAGCACCTCCTTGAAATTTGACCCCGGACTGCATTTACTGCATCTCTTAGCAAAGGACGTTTAAGGTGAAGGGTGGCATGCGCATTGCATTTACTGACATAGAACAAAGTCAAAAAGTGAGCCACGGGAACACCAGTAAATGCAATTCGATTCTGATTACTGCAATCGCCAAGGGGGGAGGGCGGTAAAAGCAGTCTGGTCAGACAGAGTAAAAGTAGGTAAGGGAAGTCGGCCAAGTAGATCCGTAACTTCGGGAAAAGGATTGGCTCTGAGGGTTGGGCACAGGGGTCCTTGTCTTACAGTTAGTGGCAGCCACTAATTCGTTTTAACGCGGCCTCCCGCCCTGCCCTGCCCTGCTCTGCCCTGCCAAAATGCAAAAGCGAGATAGTGGCAGCCACTACTTCGTTTTTGCCCTGACCTCCCCCCAGCGCAAAAACAAGTTAGTGGCAGCCACTAATTCGTTTTTACCTGGCGCCTGCCCTGCCCAAAAGCAAAAACGAGTTAGTGGCAGCCACCAATTCGGTTTTGCCCTGCTGCCCTGCCCTGCCATGCCCTGCCCACAGGAAAGACGAGCTCGTTTCTGCTTGCCCTGCCCACAGGCAAAAACGAGTTAGTGGCAGCCACTAATTCGTTTCTGCATCCATGCCGTTTGCCTGCCCTGCCCTGTTCTGTTTTGTTTTGCCCTGCCCTGGCCCTGCCCTGCCCAAAGCAAAAGCGAGTAAGTGGCAGCCACTACTTATTTTTTGTTCTGCCCTGCCGCTGCCCTGCCTGTTGGTGGAGCGCGTAAGCGCTTGACTTCTAGAAGAAAAAGGCTTAGGTTCAATTCCGACACCGCTCCGATCGATTCGACCCGATTCCCGACCCGATTCCCGATCTTGTTGTGAGGTTGGTTGTCCATGTTATAGCTACTTCTAACCCCAACTAAGGTACTTAGAGCCCTGCCTTTAGTCTCCATTGTAGTTCCTTTTTTTGGTTAACCAAAATCTCTCTTTTAGGATCCTAACCATAAAACTGGTTAACCCAAAAAAAGGAACGACAATGGAGACTGTAGGTGCTTACTAAGTCCAATGATCCTCCAAGTAGGGGCTAAGGTTCAGGGTTGTAAGACAAAGCTTCCTGGGTGTTTGGAGGTTTCAGCCATTAGTGATCCTAGGGTTCTAGCATGAGGGTTCTACAAGCATTGCTGGGAGTGTAGGGGTTTGGGGCTTTAGGGTTTCAGGGTTTAGGGTTTAGGAAAGGTCTATTTAAGGTTAGGGCTCTAAGATTCCAAAGGTATAGTCGTTTACGGTTTCGGGTGGTGGGATTTTGAAGATTGGGGTTGCGGCCAAGGCAAGGGGTTAGATCACTGGGTGCCGAGATTGGGGTTGGGGTTGTGCGGGCCAAAGGCCTTACTCTGTCGGTTGTTTGGGCTTGGTTGAGATGTGGGGGGTTTCGGAAAAGAGGGGACCCTAATATAGTTCCCTAAAAAGAAGGATCCTTATTAGAAGGACCCCCAAATAAGGTGCCCCTAATTTTCAATAACTCCCATGTCGGGATCGGGCTCAGGGTGTCCAATCACTCTGCGTGGGTTTAGGCCTTTAGGGTGCGCGGACTTTTGGAGATTCAGGGATGGGTACGAAGTCTTTCGGATATAGAATGGAGTTTTCACGGGGGAAAGGCAAGTGTTTCTGGGGTGAAGGGAGGTAGTCAACACGGTTAGCTTTGGTGAGGAAAGCCACCCTAAACCGTTGCGGGTTCGCGCTAAAACTGATGTGGCGACCCGTCATGACCCATCAACCTGATTTCGATGCCAGACAAGAAAGAAGCCTGAATACTTTCTGAGTTTATTCCTTCTGACGCCTTCTAAGAAACATGCTAGAATACCCCCCCAAACCCTATTCCAATGATTACCCCTAGGCCCCAAAGTAGTTCCTTTTTGGGGTTCATAATTAGAATTCTAGAAGGTAATCCCAAAAAGGAACTACTTTGGGGCCTATGGGTAGGGCCCCTGTTACCAAGAATCCGATCTTTCATCTCGCAAGTCATTGAATGCGCACTTGAGCAGAATTGTTTTGGATGACGGCCGGACAGGGGTCTAAATTGGGTAACCCAAAGGATCTAAGGACTCATATATTAAGGCTTTTGGGCCCAAGCTTTTGGGCTATTTTGATGCCCAGGGTAAGAGGGCTCGCGTATGTAAAAAGGCTAAACGACCACACATACATTGCCGGTGTCACGCTTCACGAACACCGTTAACCTCAGCAACTGTATCCCGGGCACCCTATTGCCTGATGACGGCCGACGCCAGACCCTAAACTTTGGCCCCAAACTCTAAACCCCAACCCCTAAACCCTAACACCAAAGAAACAAACTCTCACTCAAGCTATACTGCTGAGCACGTTTTCCTCAGGCCGGTGATGTCGAGAAGACCGAGCTACTGCAACCCAGTAGCAGAAGTGGGGACCTTCCCAGCACCCCCCAACTGCCCTCTATTACACTTGGGGGGAGCCTTCCTTGACTTCTTACTGTTTCAGTGTGAGGATTTTGGGGTGTGAGTTGGGACTCACGGTTCAGGGTTTCGGGTGATGGGCTACATCGGAATTCAAGCTTTTCGAGGCTTGAGTGCTTCTTCCGGTAATACGGAACTATAGTTTTTCAAGATGTAAGTCTGTTGGCTACAGGTCAACCCCCTAAACCCTAAAGCCAGTACCAATGCAGCCAGCCAAGGTTCCAGCAGCTGCGGATGAATCAAAGCTTCTTCAACAAGCGCCCAAGCCACGCTGCAAATCAGAGTTTCGGGGGCTTAGGCTTAGGGTGTGGGATTACAGAGTATTGGCTGTTTAAGGTTTAGCATGGGGTTAAAACTTTAGGGATTGCGCTTTAGGGTTTAGAGTTTCGATTTGGGTATTTTGGTTTGAGGGCTTCAGTGTGCTTTCCAATTCCAACCCTGGCCTTCTTGGTTTTTTTTCGTAGAGTGTTTGTCAGTCTTAGGGATTTAGGGTGCAGGGTTTAGGGTTTAGGGTTCAGGGTGCACGGTTTAGGGTTTAGTTTAGGGTTTAGGGTTAAGGGTGCAGGGTTTAGGGTTAGCGGTTTAGGGTTCCTGGATTCTAGAATATGGTGTCTGGATTACACGGCGCAGGCCCCTACACCCCAGACCTAAACCACCAAGCCATGAATGTCTGAACACCTAGACCCACCCACATGCAAAAACTAAAGCCGCTTCGATTTACTAGCCGAGTAGGCAACCTTTAACCTTTTAGGGTTCAGATTATCCTACCACACTTGAAACTGGACCCCCAAAGTATGTAGAATAATAATGGCATTTTATAGGTATTGGGCCATTATTTTACCTACTTTGGGGGGTTTAGGAAGAAGTTAACTTTCTTGGGCTTAAAACCCTCAACCCTAAACCGTACTCAGCCCCTCAGTCGTCGAGGAATGTTCTACAATTATCCTACCTACCATTATTGAAAAGGACCCTAAACCCTAAACTTGCCGTAAACCCTAAGTCGAGGAATGCTCCACAACCCTAAACCTTAAGCCTAAGTCGAGGAACGTTCTCCAACACTTTCACTTTTTGGCCTTCATATTCTCCTACCATACTTGAAAAGGGGCTTAAACCCTATACACCCTAAACCTGAGTCGAGGAATGTTCTACAACACTTTCACCTTTTGGGCTTCATATCCTCCCTACTATACTTGAAAAAGGCTTAAACCCTAAACCCTACACTCTGAACCCAAGTCGAGGAATGTTCTACAGCCCCAAACCTAAGTCGAGAAATGTTCCACAACCTTAAAACTTAAAACCCTAAAACCCTAACCTTGCCCTAAGCCTAAGTCCAGGAATGTTCTACAACACGGTCATCAAGGCCTGCGCCAATGCTGGATTGACCGAGCGCGCCGAGTATTGGAGCGAGAGGCCCGGACTGCGGCTTTTAAGGGTTTAGGGTTTAGGGTTTAGGGGTTTGGGTTTAGGGTTTAGGGGTTAGGGTTTAGGGTTTAGGATTTAGGGTTTAGGGTTTAGGGTTTAGGGTTCCTTAAAGGGTTCCTTTCAGGGGGCTCCTAAAAAGGGACTCCTTTAATTGGTAAGGTGGTCGCACACCCTGCTTGTCGGTCTTGGTGGTGGTGGTGGTTTGGGGAGATATCTTGGGTACTGCCCCCACTCAGTAACAGTTGGATAATATTCATAATATAGAGATATAAAGATTTTAACAGTAGCCCCATTATAGAGCTGTTACTGTATGGGGGGCCGTACCCAAGCTTGAGGGTTCCTGAGAGGGTTCCTTAACGGGTTCCTCAAAAAAAGGGCTCCTTTCAGGGTTCCTTAGGGGGCTCCTTGAAGGGTTCCTTAAAGGGCCTTTAGGGGTTGAGGGGTTTAGGGTTTAGGGGTTTAAGCTTATGAGTTTTAGGGGTTTCGGGTTGGGAGGCTTGAAAGATGTTTAAAAACTCTTGATACGGCGCCTGACGGTGAGATTCTAAAACGTAGACGTAGATGGAAACCTGGTGTCCGGATTATGGTAACTGAGTTTCAGTTGCCTAACAAGAATCCACTTGCAAGCACTCGCAGCCCAATTTAGTGTGTTTTTGGGTACCAACGGGAGTTAAAGCCCAAAGACGTACTTTTCCGCTAAAGTAACATGATCGGTTCCGGTGTCACCTATAGTCTCCATTGTAATTCTTTTGTTGTTAACAGTTTTTATGGTTAGGATCCTATAATAGAGATTTTGGTTAACCAAAAAAAAGGAACTACAATGGAGACTATAGGCAGTATCCAACAGCACCAAGTCTCGGGGGATGGATGTAGGGCTTTAAGTAACCCTAAGGGTCCATGTACCCAAATAGTATATACTTTGGCCTTAAAGTAGTCCCTGTATAGGTACATTGGGGCCAAACAAAGTATATACTATTTGGGTACATGGACCCTTAGGGTAACAAGATCAAGGGCTTGAGGGCCGCAGTCAGAAACCTTTGCTACAACCCTGAACTCCAAAGCCCCAAAAGCGAAACACCAGCTGTACATCCTGAGTGTTCATGACCCTAGGAATCCAAGGACTCATATGTTAAGGCTTTCGGGCCCATAAGACCAGACTATATAAGGCTTTTGGGCTATTTTGATGCCCAGGGTGAGTGGGTATATGTCGGGCTATACATACTTTGATTTAATTTGGTAGATACCCTAAACGCCCCAAACCTCAAAACCCTCGAAACCCTCAGCCCTACACCCTCTAAACTGTAAACCCTCTAAACCCGAAACCCCAACCCTAAGAAGAAGAAGCAAGCCAAAACGCTAAACCCTCAACCCGAGAGCCTCCAAACCCTAAACCTCCAACCCTCTCAACGAGAAATAGACCCTGAATAACCTACCTTTTTAGGGCTCCTTATTATGATTTCCTTATATAAGGCCTTAAACAGGTAGGTTCTTCCGGGTTAAGGCAAGCCCTAAACAATAAACCCTATAAACCCTAAACCCCTAACCCCCTAAACCCCCTAAACCCTAAACCCCTAAACTCCTAAACCCCTAGACCCCTAAACCCTAAATCCCTAAACCCCAAACCCCTAAACCCGAAACCCTACTTGTGAGGCTCCGGGCGGCCAAGCTGGAGATGAACACCAAGGGATGCCTGGCAAGGAAAGCTTCAAAGGAGCCTTAATGGTTCCTTAAAGGGTGTTTGGGTTTTTAGGGTTTAGAGGTTTAGGATTCTGGGTTGAGGGTTCTGGGTTTAGGGTTTAGGATTCTGGGTTTAGGGTTCTGGGCTGGGGTTCCTTAAAGGGCGTTATGGTTCTTAGGGTTTAGGATTTAGAGTTTTAAGTTTTAAGGTTTCAAGGGTTTAGGCTTGAGGGTTTTTAGGGTTTAGGGTTTAGGACTCCTGAAAGCGTCTAGGGCCTAGGGTCCACGAGTTCCTGAGTAGTCCCCTTGGGCCCCCTTATTAAGAGCCACCCACAAACCTAGCAGGTTTCAGGGTTGTGACGTGTTGAGTCTTTGGGGTTCGGGGTTTTCGGCATACAGGTGCAGTTTTTGGTTTCAGGGGTTCGGGAGTTCGTGGCATTTGGATTTTAGGCTTGGGTGTCGGGGAGTTTGGATGTTTTGGGGTTCGGGTTTAGGGTTTCTGGGACAGCGTTTCGGGTACGACGTGTTTGATTGGGGTGCAAGGTAGGCAGCAGGTTTTTTGTTGACGGTGTTGCCCCGGGCTTCAAATACTGTTCACCATACACCTGCAACCTCAAGTGCAGCGCTCGTTTCTTCGGCTTGATGCTCTGTGTTTGTGTCTGAGACGATGTCATGAAAGGTTTCAGGCTTTGGGGTTAAGCCTTCTCCAACCCGCGCGACGAAACCCACAAAAAGCGAGCGCCAAACACGCAGGACCTGAATAAGACACATACAATACCCAGCCCTACCTAGAGCATCACATGAGTGGTATCTGTTATATAGAAAAGTAGGTGCCCTCAAAACAGGGTAGGGTCTGACCCTGTAGGTAAAGCTTCCATTAACCCACAAAAACCTATATACCCCTTTAAGGACCTATATACAGAAACCATATTCGGGAACCCTCATAAAAGGTAGGTCTTTTGGGGTCCAGGTAAAACCCTATGGCTTTCAGCCCTGAACTCCTAAACTCCGACCTTAACCCCCGAAGAACCTACCCTTTTTAAAGACTTCTATAAGGAAATCATAGTAGGGAGCCCTAAAAAGGTAGGTTCTTCAGGGTTAAGGTAAGCCCAGGCCTGGGAAAGCTCATTGAAGCCTGCGCCCGATCTGGCGACCTGAAGTCTGCAGAGCCACCAGACTCTGTTCAGGATTTTGGGTCTTGTGTTTTAGGATTTGGGGTTGAGGGTTGGGTTTAGTGTTCAGAGTAACGGATTAGGGGTGTGGCTCTTATCTTCGAAGACGCACAGATGCCTTTTGGTAGGTTTAGCACCGAGAATGCTTCAGGGCTGTGCGCCCCAGTCTCAGTTAGACTTGTTTCTGGATGTCGGCTTTTTTGGGGCTTCTGGTATCAGGGCTGTGAGATCGTGCAGGGAACTGCTGGTAAACTAGGGGGTTTCGACCTCTAGGCTTCAGGTCCCTAATTGAGTACAGGGAACTCCAGAAAGTTGGAATATGGTTTCGGGGTAGGATACCTTATAATTTACCATAAAGGGTTTAGGATAATCATATTCCAACTTTCTGGCTTCTACTGTAGTACGAAGATGTTGATGCGCATGGAGCTCAGCTTCATCTTAAAACAGAGCCCAAAGACCCTCAATCCCGCAGCCTGCACGCCCATACACCCTGGACCCATCATGTCTTGGTCACCATGTCAAGAGATGTCAACAAAAAGTCCCGCCACGTCCCATGCGTCGAAACTCCTGTTGTTGCAAGAGCGGATGTTGTTTGCAGATGTGTTCTACTGCTGATGGACAAAATCCTGCATGACCAAGGACTCTAAACTTGGGAACTATGGTATATTCCTTATATAAAGGGTAATGCAGGATTTTGTCCATCAGCAGTGTGGAAACGAGTTCTTTAACCGCCAAGCCCCGAGCCTTAAACCAAAGCTCCGCACGGCTCGCAAGCCTCAAACCTAGAGCCTTCCATGACTGCGATACTTTAGCAAAATCCTTCGCTATCAAGCATCCTAATTGCGCTTCTCATTTGCAACCTCCAAACTCTCGACCCTCTGTCATAAAGCCTATATAGACCCCAAACCCGACGCCCCTAACCCTAAACCCCTAAACCCGAAGCCCTAACCCTAATCCCCCAGCATATTCTGCGCTGCAGAGGCGCCTCCTGGACCAAGCTGCGATTGAAGGCGTCCAGGCATCGAGTGACAGGGCTGATTTCTTTGAGATGACATGGGACCCTCAAAATGGCCCTTTGCAAAAATTAGGGGTACCTTATTCAGGGGTCCTCATAGTAAAGATCCCACTATTTAGGAGTTTCCGAAAAAAGGGGACCCTAGCCTTATTATAGGGACACCAAAATAATGTACCCCTAATTGTCGGAAGCCCGCCATTTGGGGTACCAGATTAGGGTTCCTTACCCAGAGGGTCCATACACACTACCATTATGGAATTAGGTCCCCAAAACCATAATAGGGATGGTCTTTTGGGACCTAATTCCATAATGCTAGTGTATATGGACCCTCTGGGTTATTTTTAAAACAGCAGTGCAGTCTATCATGGGCCAAGTTTCAGGTCCCATTTCAGTTTCCTTAAGGGTCCATGTACCCAAATAGTATACACTTTGGCCCCAATGTACCTATATAGGGACTACTTTAAGGCCAAAGTATATACTATTTGGGTACATGGACCCTTAGGGTTTATGAAGGGTCACGGTTGTTGGTGCATTGGTTTACCGTTCGCCCAAGCTGGAATATAGTGTCTGCGGTTGTCGAAGCTGTTGGTTATTCTTGTCGGATTATATCCGGGTTCTCAGGAACCTATGCCAAAGCGTAAACTTCAACACCCGAATCCTGGCAGCTCTACCAAGGCTTATGAGGTTTAGTTTTGCAGATTTGGGGTGTCATTCTGTCAAAGGGGACTAGGAGGGACCCTTAATGGGGGACCCCTACCCTATAATGGGCTATATAATGGCTATATAATGGCTATATTAAGGGTATATACCTAGGGCTCCTTATTAAGGGTCCCTCCTTTTACCCTTGGAGTGTCATTCTGTGAAACAGCCAGAACTAGCCAGGATCGGTTTAGGGCTTAGGGTTTAGGGTTTAGGGTAGCATGAGGTTCGAGGGCTAAGGTTAAAGGTCTACACAAGATGCTGTCCGGTCCACGGATTCCTAGGTAGTATTGGGGGGACCCCTTTACAAGAAAGGGACCCCTCTTAACCCTACGTCTGGCTCTCTTAAACGGGACCTTATTTGCAGAAGCGCGGAGCTGTGCCGACTGACTCAGAGGCATGAGGTGCAACGCGACCTGTCGATGGTAGGTCTCGATCGGAATCTGAATTCGGATCCCCTGAACTCTTCAACCTATGTACGCATTACTTCCTACACCCTAAACCCATGAACTCTTCAACCCTACCTATAGTCTCCATTGTAGTTCCTTTTTTGGGTTAACCAAGATCTCTATTTTCGGATCCTAACCATAAAACTGGTTAACCAGAAAAGGAACTACAATGGAGACTATAGGTAAGCTAATAAACCGCGATCTGATGGGGTACTTAAAGGATCATGGGACTTAGAAACTACGGTTATTATTAGGGTAGCTATACTTATAACTGCTTGATTATAACCCCAATTAGGGTACTTATAGCCATACTTGCTAAGTCCCATGATCCCCATTATAGAACCCCTATAGATCCCTTTAAGGAACCCCATTATAGAACCCTATAGTACCCTTATCAAAAGGAACCAAGTAGCAGGAGGGAGGTCTCGGAAGGGCGGCGATGACTTTCCACGCGGATGAGCGCGGGCACATCACCAGATCGCATCTTACACATGAGCCAGACCGGCTTCGATTTGGGGGGTCTTATTTTCAAGCGAATACTAGGAAAATGTGTACCGTTATGATGAAGGGGCTGATGGCGAGCCTAAAACCAGACCATGCACCAGTGAATTTGCGAGTCCTGACTCCTAAACCCTGAACCGGGTCTCAAGCCTTCACCCGCAGGCCAGCAACGTGACGCTGATGATGATGCTGGGCTTAGTAGCAAAATCCGGCGAAGCCCGCAAACTCCAAAGGTGGCAGAAGGTGCCTCTGGGAAGCATTTCGGGTTTCGGGCTTTCCCGCAGCCCGCAACCCTCAAGCAACGTCTACTCCAAGGCTCTGAAAATACATCGTGGCCCCTACACAGAACAGCCTTCCAAAATTAGGGATCCTATTATAGTTGTCCGTACATGTCTTAAGGGATATCAGAGTCTGTGGGTAAGACCTAAATCATATACCCTAAACCCTACTGGTGAAGTTCCGGAACCTTCACCCCGTCCGTAGACTCGCATGGGCGGGGGGGGGGGGGGGGGCATTAATAAGATGACGAGCGCTTCCTGGTATATTAGAGCATTCTATACTGAAGCTGCGAATCGTAAACAAATGTTACCAAGGATACAGAAGGCATTCTCGGGTCTACTGCAGCAGAATTTTGCTGGCGCTAGGGACATTACTTCCAATAATGCGGCCAGTTCAACAGAGTAGGCCCTTATGCCCTTTTTGTTAGGGTTTACGTTCCCTTATAAACTCCTTTAAACCAAAGAGGGCACCCTTTTTATTCCCAGGTTACTCTTAGGTGTAGTATAGGGTTCATGGCAGTTTAGGCTTTAGGACTGGGTCAGAACTAACTCCTGGTAGGGTGTAGGTTCTGCATTTCCGTCAGAGCTTACAGAGTTTTGCGCTTTCTGAGCCATGTAAAATCAGAGCTTCGGCCCTCAACCCTTCAGATCCTAAACTCCAAGGGTAAAAGGAGGGACCCTCAATAAGGACCCCTAGGTACATACCCTTTATATACCCATTATATAGCCCATTATAGGGTCAGGGGTCCCCATTAAGGGTCCCTCCTTTTCCCCTTTGATAAACCCTTAAGACTCTTTCTGCTTACTCAAGACCCTCCCCCAAAACCCTAAACTGATTGGACGTATGACATCCCTATCCTGAAGTCTGCCCCCCTTAAACACAGTTGAACTCGTGTCAAAGCCGAAGCCGAAAATTTCATTGCGCCGAGCCCAAAACCCAAACCCTAAACCTCACGCCACCAACACCTGTTATCCTGGGGCCATGGAACCCCAAAGTTGCTTTGGAACTCTGAACTGGAAGCTGCGTGCCATGGATCGGTGTTGCACGTGTTGAACTTGTTCTGCTGACGATTGTGATGGTCTCTGCTGTTTACTTTCTTTGTCCAAGAAGGCCATGGCAAATGCGTACACTAACACTGCACGTGACCCCCTGGCTGCCCTGCAACGGTAGATCAAGTATACACGGTCCGAGATTTGTTCGATCAAGAACGAACTTCGCCTCTGGAAAGACGGTACAGCTTCCGTACGGCAAATCCAACGAAGTCGGTTGGATGTACTTCAGCGGGAGTTGCGGGAGAACGAGCAGAGCTCGGCGAAGCCCTTGATGCCACCTCTGCATTTTTGACACGCAGTGCGCAAAGCAGAATGTCATCGCCAACTTCCTCACTGATCATGTGTCTCTTCGTGGTCAAACTCACGATGTAAATAGCAATGACCACATCCCTCCTACCCAACCATGTCCGATGGAGCTATCAGATTGAGTCTCATGCACATACCCACTTGTCCACCATGTGAGATAAACGGCCTGCGGTTCAGGGTTAAGTGCTTGGGCTGTGGACTTTCCGGCTGCGTTATGATGGTCTTCCAAGTCATTCCTTCTGTAGCCGCCAAATATCATCACCCCGAAACCCCAAATATCATATCCCACTTCTGAAGACATCACCCTAGATGCCTGCACCGGAGACCGTGTATCAGTGAAGAAGGTGTCCGGATCTAGGCGGAGTTAAAGCCTACAGTGTAGGATACCCAGAGCTGACTCAAACCCGTTGGTATATGAATTTTCACAGCTACTCCAGAGCATCCCCAACATCATCTTCAACATTCTCATCTCCATCGCCATCATCATCAACAGCAGCAGCATCAGCATCGCCGTCATCAGGAAAATCGCCATCGTTATCGTTATCATCGGCAACATCAATGTACTGAGGCACTGATTGCAACATCCAGCCGTTGTGCCAGCGGGTTTCACGGGTTGACAAACATTAATTACAAGCACCTGAAAGTCGTTGGCAGGTGCTCTCGCGAAAGGCGGCCGAGGCCGAAATCAGGGTGCACGGACTGGACCTTAAGGGACCAAGCAATCAAAACTGAGCCTGTACTACGACAGTCTCCTCTCTATCTTTGACAAGTTGAGGCCAAAACCCTAAGCTCTCAACCAAAAACCCTGAACCCTGATCTATTGTTTCAGTCCTTTTCCTTCGCGGTCCTCTGAATCTGTCCACAGGGCTCTCGGAATACATACGGTTTAGGGTTTACAGGCTTTTTAGGCTTTATAAGTTTTATAGGGTTTGGGGTTTACGGTTTGGGGGTTTAGGGTTTTGGGTCTACACGATCATCTACAAAATAGGTCCCCGGCCCTCCCAGCAAGTCTGGTGTTTTGGCTGAACATTGACCTTTTGCAGTTTAAGGTTTAGGGTTTTAGGTTGGGGGTTTAGGGTTCAGGGTTTAGAGTTGAGGGTTTTTTAGCTTTGAACCAGACCTCCATCGGAATCTTTGTGGCCTTGAGCTCTCAAGCCTTCGTGTCGTTTAGGGCAACCCTGAACCTGCTTCTTATGGTTAGTTAGAAAGGTTTGGTTATTATAACCCCTAAGGCTATGGGGTTTAAGTTCAGTGTAGGATTCTCCAAAGTTCTTGGCACCGGGTAATTTGCAACAGCTTAGGTTGAGGTTTCCCTGTCCGTCTCTAGTACACAGCCGCAAGCCGAAGTCGAGTTCCCTAAGCCTCTACCTATATCAAAGGGGAGAAGGAGGGACCCTTAATGGGGGAGCCCTACCCTATAATGGGTATATAATGGCTGTATTAAGGGTATATACCTCGGGGTCCTTATTAAGGGTCCCTCCTTTTTCCCTTGGACTATAGTCCCCATTGTAGTTCCTCGTTTGGGTTAGCTTATGGTATAAGGGTCCTGAAAATGAGACTGGTTAAACAAAAAGAAACTGCAATGGATATTATAGATATGCTATCCCGGCTATCCCTTGAGTAGCCCCGTAGCCAGAGTTTTCGGGTTTGTCCCGAGCTATGCTCTCTGCTGAGAACTTGCCAGGAAGGCGATGACAACATGCTCTCCGCCGTCTATGCGACGTGTCACTCATCCAAAATCCTAAACCTTGAGTCCTAAACCTTACACCCTAAACCTTAAATCCTGAACCCCAAGCTCCAGGGCCAGGGTCCTTATGGATGCAATCAGCTTTTTATGGGTTCAGGGGTGTTCAGGTGACGGCCTTCATGCAGCACTATTTCGGGGTTCCTCATTATTGTACTGAGACCACAATGTACCTCAAAACTCTATATACTCAAATTATCAAGGCGTCAAAACGTGGCCGTTGTGTTTGATCTGGTCCAAGTACCAAGCAGTATGCCTGAGGGATATAGGGTTTAGGGGTTTGGGTGTCCAGAACCATTCAGAGTATAGAACACCCACAGGCCCCATAGTAGTTCCTTTTTGTGGTTCATATGTTATATAGAATCCTATAAGGTAACCCCAAAACGGGCCTACCATGAGGCCTTGGAATACCAGGGTGTTTGGACTTTTGCAGGTTTCGGCTGAGCTGTCGGTGTGGGATTTCGAGTTTTACTTCGCATGCCGGGATTCAGAGCTTCAAGCTCATCCCAAACGCCGCAAAACTTGACCTAAACCCTAAACACCAAAGCCGAAAGCCCTAAACTGAAACATAGACCTGGTTCCCTCAATCCCTTAAAGCCTATAAACCCTACGCACCAAAGCTGAATTCTAAGACCTTCACCCTTAACCCTAACCGCCCTAAACCCCTAAACTCTGAACCCTAAAACCTCAACCCTGAACCGTGTGTCTTGGGGTTAAGGGCTCGGGCTCGCACGGAGGGTGAAGGCACGCAAGCTCCCTGGAGGGTTCAGGGTTTTCGAGCTTACCTATAGAGTTCCGTTTTTGGTTTAACCAATGGGGCCTTCTCTAGATCAGCCACGCAAGACCTTTAAACCGCAAGCACAAAACCAACACCCAAGGCTTACCTGTACGCTCCGATTTGTCGCCATTGTAACAGTTTCAAGGGTCAGGAGCCCACAACTTACTTTGCTTTCAAGCTATGCTGACCATGAATAGCCTGCCTGTGTAAGAGCTCAATATGAAGAACGCATAACAAGGAGCCCCCCCCCCAGAAAAATAATATGTTCTTATAGGGTCCAGGTATTGCCTATAACAGGGAGGCAAGGCATTCGCAAAAACTGGAACAAAGGCCTCGACTCGCGAACCCCTGAAAGGAGCTTAAGTATCGGATCCCATCCGCAGCCCCAGTCGACCTAGGCCTCTACCTGGAGTCTCCACTATGCTTTTTTTGGGATCCGACAACCTACCGTTTTAAGGGTTCTACCGTCTAACCAAGGGGTCATAACCTACTACAGTAGAAGCCGGAAAGTTGGAATATCAATATCGTAGCCCCTTTAAGGTAAATTATAGGTGATCCTACCATTGATCCATAGTTCCCTTTATATTCTAGGGTTTGGGGATACAGGTCCATGGTAGTTCCAAATTTGGGTTACCGTGACGGCGTGGGATAAGAAAGGCAGGGATCTCTTATTTAGAGCTCTGCTCAGGGTCATAAGTGATACCCGCCAGGTTTAGAGTACCCTGGATCTCTTTTTGGAGACGTATCATGCACCTCTGACGCCGTCCAGGGTTCAACATGGACGAAGAGCCAGGGGCAGTAATAAACCGCCCATTATAGAGGATGGCGATGTTCAGATCATTGATCCTCCATCGCTGTCGCCTCCCCTTTCGGCCAATGTGGTGCGCCACCTGCAGCAAACACTGCACAACTTCGGGCGAATTCCGAAACTCTCCCCGATTTGCTGCACAACCCTCCTGGGCTCATAAAAACCAGGAAACGAGAAATCCAGCCCCTGGATTTCTTAGTCCCCTGCTTTGTGGCCGGACCAAAAACCCAGGATATACGACATCCAGGGCTGGATTTGTGATTTCATGGATTTTAGGTGGGAAAAAGCCTGTGAACTAAGAACTCCAGCCCCTGAATTTCTCATTTCCTGCGTTTTTTGGTCCGGCCAAAACTGAGGAAATAAAAACTCCAGCCTTGGAGTTCTTATGTCCTCTGTTCTTGGTCGAAATCCATATCAAATCTTCAACCCTCCACCCATTGCCTTCGGGCGAATTGGCGACCGGATACCAAATCTTCACGTCTGCTGTGTGCCTTCCGGCTTCAAGGTACTGTAACGTGTTTAGGCTCCTGCATTTCTGGTCTTGGGGGCAGCATGTAAGAAATTGGACAAGAAATTGGGTTTCGGGTGTAGGGAACCCTGAATTTCTCATTTCCTTTTGCTTGATTGTGGCAGATTCTCGCACATGTTCGCCCTGGAGGGCTGGATTTCTTATTCAATGTGTTCTTATTCAGTGCTGGCGCTGTACCTTCTAGAAAATCAAACTTGGCGCTCTTCTGTCACCCACTTTTAAGGGGGTTCTTCCAAGCCTTGAGGGGCGCGCCGTCCTAGACCCCTACATCCCCAACCCAACTTGGAGGATCATAGGGCTTAGTACGTATGGCTTTAGGTACCTTGACTGGAGTTACACTCGTAGTTAGTTGCCCCTAACCTTATACCTGTATCCCCAAACCCTGCAAAATCCCCTTAGTTAGAGGGTAGAACCACTAAAGCGATAGGTCTTCGGATCCCTTGGTAGTTACTAAGTCCCACGATCCTTCAAGTATGCCGACATGAGAAACGTGGCTGAGGCGGAGAAACGGACAAAGCTGCAGAGCTCCTGGAAGGTTGTTCCGGGGATGGCTGATCGGGATTGGGAGGGTTTAGGTTTTAGAGATTTAGGGCTTTACGATTCTGGGGTTTAGGGTTCTAGGGTTCAGAGTCCAGGGTTACAAGCAGCAAGCACAAGCGTGGTCAAAGTCTTCATTCGGCTGGCTAGGATCGGGATTCAGAAACTCCGACTCTTTGTGTGTATGTTGGCCAATAGGGCAGTTTCATAGATTTCCTAAGCCCTAGTCACCCAAACCCGAAAGCCCTCATAACCTGAGTAGCTTATCGCAGTTACCTAGAGGCTCCAAAGTAGTTCCTTTTTGGGGTTCATATATAGAATCCTATAAAGGTCATCCCAAAAAGGAACTACTATGGAGCCTATGGGTGGAACCTTAGGGATAGTTGGACATGTTTCGAGGCCGACCTCAACACTGTAGCCCAAACGGTCCTATGTACTGTTATGGGGGATACTTCCCGAAGTCATAATAGTAACTCCTAATATGGCAACCCTACATTCTACTATATCGGTACCTGGGACCCTTTGGGTACTTAACCTCTGCTATGTCACCAACTACAGAAACCAGGAAGCGTAGAACGACCCTGGGCCCGCAACACTGTGATGCCATGAAGCCACCCCGTAGGACTCGCACCCCCGAGACCCACGACCCAAATGGGAGTTTCCGAAAATTAGGGGTACCTTATTTTGGGGTCCTTATAGTAAGGGTCCTGCTATTTAGGGTACGGTACTATAGTAGGGTCCCCTACTTTCGGAATCTCCCAAAAAGCCCTTACTTGTGGAGACGCCCTGGCACGCGGAGATCGCCCGGATAGTATGAGCCTCCTGGCCGGGAATGCATTTCAGGCATTGCCTAAAGCTCATAGGAGGCCAAAAAGGGGCTTTAGCCTATGGGGGTTTAGTAGGGATTAGGGTTCCCATAATAGGCTTCATATTAAAGAATCCCACGCCCAAGAATCTTAAACCCCCCTTTTGGCCTCCCATCAAAAGCTAGAGCAACCTAACTCTCAGGTGAGAGAGGACTCTTGGGCTCAAGGCCGTATGAGGCTCATGCTGGTATTTCGGGCTTAAGCAATCGACCGCAGCATCCCACTGTGTGAGTTTGGCTTTTGAGGTTTCAGAAGCTGGGCGATTGAAGTTGAGGGCCTTGTGGCTGAAATGTAACCCGCGTGCCTCGAACACCGAGTCTTCAACAATGTGATCATGGCCTTCGCCAGAGAGGGGCGTCTGGAAGAGGCCGGCACTGCAAGTGCTGTGCTTCTGGACAGTTCCTAAGTACTTGCTGGGATCGGTATACAAAGATCTTCATCTTAGGCCGAAGCCGAAGCCTTTGTTCAAGGTTCAGAGGTGGAGGATTGAGGGTGTTACGGAGGCGTTTTCCCGGGTACTGCTGACCGTCATGCCGAATACGACATAAATTTGTCTGCGTTGCTTTTCTGAGGGGTTTATGGCTTTACCTAACCCCTAAACCCTAGACCTTTCCCAGTTGCTGGAGAAAAGGAGCGAAAACAAAAAAAACGACCCTTCCCAGTGTAAATCAAGGTAACTGGGTGAGCCAAGGCTGCACGGGGTTTCCAGGGGGCCTCTGGGAGGGTTTGCTGTGGAACATCAGGCTGTGAGGTAAATACGTGTAGGGTTTATTTGGAGGTTCAGGGGTAGCTATAAGTAGGGTTACAAGTCCCCTCATATGGGTTGTAAGTATAGTTACCCTACTTATAGCTACCCATGAACCTTATATAAGTCCCCTAATGTGGGTTAGAAGTATAGTTCTCCTACTTATAACTACCCATGAACCTCCAAGTAGGGATGTTTAGGTTTAGGGTTTAGGGTAGGTGTTGAATTGAGTTCTCCAGAGGATGGGAATGGTTTCCTGCAATAGTAACAACTGTTTTTTGTGCGAGGGGTTACAGGCTTTAAAGCCCTCGCACAATCTACAACTTCCAAACGGATTATCGGTAATGTTTGTTTTTCGATAGCTTGGGACGGCGATGTCGATGAGGATAGGCTCACATCATCAACGGTTGGGCCTTCGGTTCTGGGTTTGTGTGGAAGCTTCTCCCTTTGAAGGCAACAGCATCCTTGAACCTAGGGTCAAGGCTCTTACTGTGAAGTCAGATACCTGCGTTGATGCCCCAGCCTTTGCTTCATACCTCTGCGCTCTCGTTGCCCAAGACAGGGAGGTTGATAGCAACCGGTGCAAGTTTGCACGCCTTGCATGCAATAGACTGACTTCTCAAGCATCGCACCTCTCGGTCGGTTTGTGTCCATGTGCCAAGATACTTTGGCCTCAAAATAACCATATAGAGACTACTTGTATAAATATATATATATATATACTATATGGCTGCATGGACACATACACTCCAAACTCTAGATCCTATGCAACCCCAATAGAGCCCTTATAGTACCCTTAAAGGAGCCCTTACGGACACATGCAAGCTTAGGGCTACTGTACAGACGCGGTCCTTCTTGTTATATGAGTCGCAGAGCTTCGATGTGAGGCTAAGGCTCCTGGTCGCAGGTGGTCTGATAGATGCTGCGATATAAGAGGCCCTCAAAGTCCCCTCTATTATATAGCTACACCATAGCTATCATATCATAGTAGTTATAGTAGAGTTTGGTAGGAATGTTGAAGGGATAGATACTAGAGTCTGATGTTATGCCGAAGCCCTGTTCTAATCATAAAAACCGACGCTGCAATGGAGTCCAAGTCCTCTGATCTTGGTGCAGCACTGCGCGAGCTCGTCGAGATTTTCTACGAGAGTGTCTGGAACGCACGTGATGATACTGCTTTATTCAGAATTCTGGCACCTGACTTGCGCTTTCGCGGCTCCACGGAGGCTGTTGACCGCATCGGCCCTGAAGCCTTCAAGGCGTACCGAGATAGCATTCACCAGGCTCTGCACAGCTACACCTGCAACATTGAGGACATCGTCGTGGATGGTGCCGTGGCATTCGCTCGTGCAGCTTGACTGTTCTTAGGTCGGTTTTTGCTGTTCTGCGCTAGACCCTCAGAGCTTGCCTTGTCGCTTGCTGTTCACAAGCTGCAAGACGTTGATCACCATGCAACAGTACGTCCGTGACTGTGGTGTATTTATTGCTACTACATTACCACGACTGCTAGACGACGGCGACGACGACCTCGTTCATGGCTACTCCTGCGGCTACGGTTGCTGCTGGTGCAGCGATGAGCAAGCAGCCACACTGGCCAATTTGCACACAGCATACCCACGGCACCGTGTCTTGCGGTGTGGTAGTTACGGTTGCGAAATTCACGTGTCGAGGAAAATTCATTCCAAATAGCAGAGGCCCTTTACGCAGAACAGATATATATATATATATATATATATATATATATATTTGAGGGATATTTGGAGTTTCTGGGGTGTTGCGAGGTACGTACCTGTAACCTCCGTGGTAACTTCGAGCTACCTAATAGGACCCTCACTGTCAAAGCGGGTTAAAACAATAAAGGCAACTACAACTGAGACTGGAGGTATGGTCCAGGTACTGCCCCCATACAGTAAGAGTCTATAATAGGGCTACTGTTATGGTCCTAATATATCTATATTCTGAATCTTACTCAGCTATTACTGAGTGGGGGCCGTACCCAACATATTACCTATAGACCTACCTTTTTAAGGAACTATATATAGAAACCATAATAAGCAGAAGCCATAATAAGGAACCCTAAAAAGGGTAGGACTTTTCGGCTACAGGTATGGTTCAGTGGCATCCACTCCGGGGGCGACTTATTGGGGGTTGCGCCGACCCAGCGCCGAGTGAAGTGGATTGGAGCGGCTCGTTTCGCCCTCGCCGAGGGGCCAGAAGGACCGCCAAATGGGTAGTTGTAAAAATTATGGTCCCTTCTTGGGTCCCTATTATAATGCGGCACCTAATATTTAGAAACCCCAAAAGGGACCCTAATTTTGACAGCTGCCCAAATGCTTCTCTAAACTTTTCATTCCGTTTTAAGCCCTAAACCCCTAAGCCCAAAAAATCCTAAACCCTACACCGACACCTTCGGGAGAAGAGTGAGGTAGCTATCTTAGATGTCTATGCCAACGCAGGAGCCGGATATAGGGTTAAGGGTGGTGGGTTAGGGTTTAGGGTTTAGGGTTTAGGGTTTAGGGTTTAGGGTTTGGGTTTAGGGTTTAGGGTTTAGGGTTAGGGTTTAGGGTTAGGGTTTAGGGTTTAGGGTTTAGGGGTTTAGGGTCTAGGGTTTAGGGTTTAGGCTGTCCTTTCAACCCATTTCAACGTGACCGTAATGCTCCATGTGTTTTTTTATAGTATACGTTTGGACCATTAAGTATTCCTCCTTATTATGAACCCCTGTAAGGCCTAAGGATACACAACAAAAGTACAGGGAGCCTTAGGGTGTGAGAGGTAATTACCCACAGCCCACCAACCCGAACTGGCCTCTTGGGGTGCTGAACCCTCTCCCTTCGAGACCCACCAGGATCCCATGGTTAAAAGTCGTTTCTTTGGAGGATTCAGGATCCCTACACCATGAATTATGAAGAATTCTTCAAGTAAGTAAGGGGTGTTGACGTTTCCGAGAAGAAGGACCTTCCAGCGCGCAGATTGGTAACATCTGGGTGCTTGGTGATCTTTATTCCCTGCAGAAGCAGTTGCACGGCGAGGGTGGAGAGTGTGATCCTGTCGAAGATGCCGGAATGGACCAGATGAGTAGTTGACGGCTGCCAGAACGCGAGGCGTTCTCGTCGGCGTTCTGCTCGTCTGTGAAAAAGCAGTGCCTTTCAGCCAGGATTTCCTCCTAAACTTCCTACACTAGCTTAGATTCCTTAATCCTATAGCCTCGAGATCCTGCCATCTTCAACTCCTTTAAGTTTCCTTATTCTGGTATCTGTGTTTGAGTTCCTCGAAGAGGTAGGTCATTGGGGCTACAGGTACGTGGGGCTTAACGTTTGCTTTTTTGGCTTTGGGGCCCTAAATCCCAAACCCTAAATCCCTGAGGTTAAAGCCCTGATCCCTGATATGTCCGAACCCTTGACCCTTTCACACTGACTCCGCAGCCCCATCTCGCCTACTCCCTGAATCTTCCATGCATTAAAGTATGTGTGTATATAGTAACCGTTCTGTCATAGTATACCTTATAATACATATCTATCTGTTTTGTATATAATACATATTATGGTATATTGTTCTGTCCCCCTAAAAACCTTAAACCGTAAGGCATAAGTAACCCTTTGGAAGCCGTATGTAGATCGTTGAACTCCGAATTCCAAAAACGAAGCCTCGAAAGCCTTGGAGAGCACAAGATCATGCCAAGATCCTTACTTTGCAGATTGTTTACGGACCAGGCTTTGGGGCTATTTGACCTTATATGTGCATGCGTGAATGCCCTGAACAAACCTTCAACCCAGATCCCAAACCCTTCGATCCCCACCAACATCTGCGTACTTTAGCTTCATACGTATGGACCCCAAAAGCCTAAAGCCCTAAACCCCAACTTTCGAGGCCCCTTACCCTAAGGGTTCATGTACCCAACTAGTATATGCCTTAGCCCCAATGTATCTATATGGGAACTACTTTTAAGGCCAATGTATATACTATTTGGGCGCATGGACCCTTAAACCCTAACCTAAATCCTTATAGAGCCCTTATAGTAACCCTTAAAGGCACCTGAACGGATCTTTGTTTGGGTACATGGACCCTCAAACACTAAACTAGAGCCCGTACTAGACAGGTAACCCAACCCGTAGCCCTAAACCCTAAACCCCTAAGTCCCTAAACCCTTAAAAGGATCCCTGTTTGGGTACACAAAACCCTAAAGTCCTAAACCCCTAAACCCCAAACCCCACACCCTTTACAGGGAACCCTCAAATCCTAAACCCCTAAAGCCCTAAAGCCCAACTTTCAAATCCATTTGTAGTTAAACCCTAAATCCTTATCGCGCCCTTTTGTCACTCTTCCTGGAATCCTTAATGGGTCCCTATTTGGGTACATGGACCCTCAAACCCTAGACCCTTATTAGTAGCCCTTAAAGGAACCTTAAAACTAAACCCTAAACCCCTAAACCCCTAAACCCCTAAACCCTAAACCCAAAACCCAAAACCCTAAACCCCAAACCCCTAAACCCTAAACCCTAAACCCTAAACCCCTAAACCCCTAAACCCCTAAACCTAACCCTTAAAGCATCCCTACTTGGGCACATGGACCCTTAGAATTACCTGGAGGCTCATACCCTACCCCTTTTTTAGGGCGCCTACTTTTTAAGATAGCAGATCCTAACCATAAAGCTAGGTATCCTAAGAAAGGGGTAGGGTATGAGCCTCTAGATAGATCTAGGGATGGAGTATATCCTACGGTTGATGATACAACTCCTGCATTACCTTAAGGACCCTAAACTAAGGGAATTATGGCATATTCCTTATTATGGGTAATGCAGGATTTATATCATCAACCCTAAACCCTAAACCCCCTATAGATCCCTTAAAGAGGCTCCTTAAAGGAACCTTATAGATCCCTTTAAAAGGAACCCTAGGGATTTGTATCATCAACCGTACCATTATGGAATGGTAGAATTACAGTACGAAGGCGATGGCCTGGCTCCAGCGGATGCCCGCAGCCTCGGTAGAGCCGGATCGCTTGTCCTTCGAGCCCCTGGGTCTTTACAAACATCGGTTTAGGGGTTTAGGGTATCGGATTTTAGGGTTTAGGGGTTCAGGGTTTCGGATCTTTACGAAAATCGGTTTAGGGGGTTAGGGTATAGGATTGTGGGGTTTAGGGGTTTAGGGTATAGGATTTGGGGTTTAGGGGTTTAGAGTATAGGATTTTAGGGTTTAGGGGTTTAGGGTCGTTACAAAAATCGGTTTAGGGGTTTAGGGTATAGGATTTTAATGTTTAGGGGTTTAGGGTCGTTACAAAAATCGGCTTAGGGTATAGGATTATAGGGTTTAGGGGTTTAGGGTCGTTACAAAAATCGGTTTAGGGGTTTAGGTTTTAGGATTATAGGGTTTAGGGGTTTAGGGTCGTTACAAAAATCGGTTTAGGGGCTTAGGGTATAGGATTATAGGGTTTAGGGGTTTAGGGTCGTTACAAAAATCGGTTTAGGGGCTTAGGGTATAGGATTATAGGGTTTAGGGGTTTAGGGTCGTTACAAAAATCGGTTTAGGGGCTTAGGGTATAGGATTATAGGGTTTAGGGGTTTAGGGTCGTTACAAAAATCGGTTTAGGGGCTTAGGGTATAGGATTATAGGGTTTAGGGGTTTAGGGTCGTTACAAAAATCGGTTTAGGGGCTTAGGGTATAGGATTATAGGGTTTAGGGGTTTAGGGTCGTTACAAAAATCGGTTTAGGGGCTTAGGGTATAGGATTATAGGGTTTAGGGGTTTAGGGTCGTTACAAAAATCGGTTTAGGGGCTTAGGGTATAGGATTATAGGGTTTAGGGGTTTGGGGTTTAGGGTTCAGGGCCTCACTTTAGGGTTTAGGGTTTTATATAAGGGTATAGGATTATAGGGTTTAGGGGTTTAGGGTTTAGGGTTCAGGGCCTCACTTTAGGGTTTAGGGTTTCGGGTCTTCACAAAAAGACAGGTCAAGGGTATAGGATTATAGGGTTTAGGTTTATAGGGTTTAGGGTTCAGGGTCTCATCTTAGGGTTTGGGGTTTCGGGTCTTGACAAAAAGGACGGGCTAAGGGTTTAGAGTGTCAGGTTCGGGGTTTGGGCTTTAGGGGCCTTTGCAAAGGCCTGAAAGTGAGCGGTCTTTACAAAAAGGGGTCTCATTTGCGGTTTAGGGTTTCGGGTTTGCAGTGGAATAGCGCGTAGGCGACAGTATTTTGCGATAAGGCTGTGTCGAATGCGTCGTACGATGGCGATGAGCTGTGAAAGCCTGTCTACAGAAACCTTACGTTGCTTTCTCCCACCATACAACATAAGGCCAAACCACCCAAACCTGTCTAAAGTCTTTTCTGATGAAGCTGACAGCAAGGCATGCATGCCTCAGAACATGTGGTGGACCCACACGTTTTCCATTCTTCCCTCGCATGATAGGTCCCAAACTGCCGAGAAACTGCTGTCGTTATGTCGAGTCCTCGATGGGACCCAAAGCCCTACCTATAGTCTCCATTGTAGTTCCTTTCTTGGGCGACCTTACAGGATCCTACACGTAAGTATAAAGCTAACATGGAGACTCGAGGTAGCCCTCGAAGCCCAGCAACTGGTCCAAGAATTGACCTGGCCCTGCCAAGCAGTAGCGAAATTCGAAACTTACCTGCACCCTACATGCCGAACTTTAACCCTAAACCCTAAACCCTAAACCCTAAACCTTTAATGCAGACCGCTCCCATTCCAAAACCAAAGACCTCAACCCAAATCCGAAGCCTTGAAACCAGCACCCTTGAGCTTGGCACTCGCCCCGCCCGGCATTCTGTTCAATTATGGAATATCTTTTACAACATAGAATTCAGCCCCTTTTTTTGTATCTAAAGTCTATGCCTTCCCTAAACCCTAAACCCTTGGGTGGTTGTCAAAATTAGGGTTTCTTTTGAGGTCCCTAATATAGTACTGCACCTAATATTTAGGGTACCCGAAAAGGGACCCTAATTTTGACAACCACCCCCTTAACTCAAAGGGGCCTTGGGCTTTCTGGGAACATGACCTGCCCAAGGGCTCTGGCGACGGCTCATGCCCGGCTAGGTTGCTGGGCCCTGTGGATTTCGGGTTATTATAGGGGTTCCTTTAAAAGGGACTGTAAGGGCTACTATAAGGGTTCCTTTAAAGTGGACTGTAAGGGCTACTATGAGGGCTCTTATAAGGATGAAATACAGGGCCTTAGTAATTATAGGGCTCTGGGTTTAGGGTACCAGATCAGCGCATAAGAAAACGTCGCATGTGCATCACCGGCCATAAATTGTAACTGACTTAGAACCATAAGCCGTAGTATGAAGAAGTGTAGCAATAAGGACAGTCGCGATGTCTAACACAGGACGGAAATTCGGGCTCAGGCTGAAAATTCGAACCTTCAACCCGAATGTAGCCCAGAGGGTCCATAATTATACACTACCCTTATGGAATTAGGTCCCTAAAGACCATCCCTACTATGGCTTTGGGGATTTAATTCCATAATGGTAATGTATATGGACCCTGTGGGTAGGTCGGAGTGATCGGAGAACGTGTGGTTCGAAGGCCCTGGGTCTAGTTGTAGGAAGGCCTTCGGGACATTTTCTATTTCCACTTGGGCCATGTACGAACATATTTCAGATGCTGTAAAGGGCCAACCTGCTTGGAGGTTGATGTATAGTTTGTAAGTAAGCTTATAAGCCGGCGAACTCCAGTCATAAGCCATATTAGGGACTTATAACCCCCACTCATAACTACCCATGAGCCTGCAAGTGGAGTTCAACGTGCAGCATGACTTGCCGTGATTGTCTTGGAGTTGAGGTTTTACTGCCAAGGATCTTGCATAGAGGGTTGACGGAGCGTCAGTGTAAACATGAGTGGCTGTTGAATTGTAAGTGAAATCTTGAAGGGATACTTAGCATGACGATGGTGTATGGTAGATGTAGTGCGTGGGCATTAGGACGAGCAGCAGCACCGAAGGTTCTTTGTCTTCCTAAAAATGTACGAAAGCCGTGAGCACAGCAGTTACAAGCACATGCCTTATTAATCAAATCTGAAGCCCAGCACTTTCAGTCCTACGCCGAAAACTTACACTCTAAAGCCCTCGAGAAATCCTAGAACTTGCAAACCCGAAAACCCTAAAACCCTCCACGCTAAATCAAGACCCAAACCCTAAACCCTAAACCCCTAAACGGGCGGGCTGGCGAGTAATCAAAAAAACCCTCAACCCTAAACCCACAAGCGCCCCTAGCGCTGCGTCCCTCGGAGGAGACATCGATGCTGCAGGAGGCTGTCTGGAAGAGCGGCTCGGATCTTTAGGGGTCAGGTCCAGGGGTTTAGGGTTTAGGGGTTCAGGGGTGTAGGGTTTAGGGGTTTAGGGGTTAGGGGTTTAGTGTAAAACCAATGCCCCTGCTGCAAAGGATGACAGCACAAATCGGAGGCCCCTGCCGCAAGGACGACAGCACAAATCTGAGGCATTCTGGTTCGCGAGAAAAGGCTCCCCCGGCGGGGGTCTTCACTTCGTAGGTTGGGGGCTCTTCGGGGGGCGGTTGTAAGCTTCTGCAGGGTCTAGGCCAGGGTCCCGGCGCTTTTGAGTTACGTCTTGTCGTTTTACATTGGTAGCGGAGCCCAGGCCGCTTTCCGGGTCTTTCCTGTAGGGTGTCGTTGTTCTCTTGTCTCGTTGTGTTGTCGGTGAGGGCCTCCTTCAGGGCTTCTTTGTCTCTTTGGGGGTTCGTAGCGCCTACGCGCCAATGGCGATGGCGTTCTCGGGTGCTGGAGCAAGTAATCCTACCTCCTACTACAGCAACGCTCCTGCTACGGATCAGAGTGATCAGACTGCTCGGGCTCAGGATCAAGGTGACGGAAGGGTTTGGGATGATTCTTCTTGGAACCGGGGTGATCAATGGGCTTGGCAGGGATGGTATAGACCATACGGCTACCGCTATCACTGGTCTTGGGGTTCAAAGGCCGAGTGGAGTACAGACGGTGGAGATTTCTCCAGCGGATCACCCGGCGAGGGTGATGATGATCAGGGCTCAGGTGGGCGCCAAGATGAGCATCCATCGCATGAGCTCCGCAGTTCCGAGGGCGAGAATACGAGTTACAATCGGAGGGCTTCTTGGAATTCTTCCGGGAAGTGGGCTGGAGACTCACCGACAGGGATCTCTAATTCACATGATGATGGGAACCTGGGGTCCGAGGCCACAGCTACGAAGGGCTCTTTCAACGAGAGGATGGCAGTTCCGGGATTCGATGCTCAGAGTTCTGGGGAGGAGCTTGGCATGAGCGCTAGGTCTTATCTTCGCCAGGTGGACGCATGGTGCAAGGTAACGAGAACACCCAAACATCAGCAAGCCCTTCTACTCTATCAGAACCTCTCGGGAAGCGCATGGGTTGAATCAGAGGAATTGAGCGTCGAGGATCTCTCGGGCAACAACGGTGTATGAATCTTTCGAGCTTGGATTCAAGAAAGGTATCAGGAAGTCGAAGTGTCAAAGATTGCGGAAAGCCTTACGGCATTCTTTAAGCGGCTTCGTCGTCAATCTGGGCAAACCATCAGGGAATTCAACTCGGCTTTCGATAGGAGTCACTCCCGACTCCTAGAAATCGACTGCCGCCTCCCGGAGGTGGCAAAGGCATGGGCCTATCTCAACGCGCTTAGCCTGAGCAGTTCAGAGGAATTGGCTTTGCTGGCTTCGGTAGGGAATGAGTACAATGTGACAAAGTTGCAGCGCGCAGCAGTGTTGCATGAGAAGTCCCTACGCCCTCCTTGGCAACCCCGGAAAGGACCTTATCAGGACATTGGCGGTAAAGGGCAGAAGGGGGTCAAGGCTTCCTATATGACTGGGGTCGATGAGGTTGATGAGGATGAAGAGGTTTACCAGGGGGCAGATGACGAGGTGCTTGCAGAGGAAGAAGCCGTTGCGATGCACGAGGCGTATGTAGCTCAGGAGACCGCAAAAGCCAGATATCGTGAGGTCTCCAAAGCACGGGGTGTGGATCCTAGTGTGCTGCGGAAGGGTGTCACTGAGAATCCGGGGAAATCCAACATCGAGGAGCGCCTTGCACAGGCAAAAGCACGATCGTTCTGCGCCGGGTGCGGCAGGCGAGGACACTGGCACAAGGACAGCACGTGTCCTCTCAACAAACCGGAGAACCAGCAGCTCGGCAACAAAGGGAATGTCCCTAAGTCCGGCCGGGATCAACAGGCCCATGTGACATCCTCCAGCGGTGATGGGAGCGGATCGGTTGTTCAGGTTGCTTACGAGGTCGGGTACCCGAGTGGCAACAAACTGTATGCAATCACGGACACCGCTTGCAGTAAGTCGGTTATGGGTCAAGGATGGCTTGAATCCTACTTGAAACTGGCGAGGAACCCGGGCCTGGAAACCCAGTTTGTGAACGCCTCGGACGATTTCAGGTTTGGTGCTTCGAAACTCTTCCGAGCTACTTACACAGCAACCATCTTGATCGAGGTTGGCGGTAAACCGTTTGCGGTCAGGGCTTCGGTGGTCGAGGGTGAGGTTCCGCTCCTTCTCAGTCGGAAGGTCCTGAGTGTTTTGGGCATGGTGTACGATGTCGATGAGAACACGGCACGGTTCAAGCACCTGGGAGTCGACAACATCATGCTTTCGACCACTGACAATGGCCACCCCGCCTTGATCGTGAATCCGAGGGTAGGTCATAATCCCAAGTTGCCGTCACCCCAAGAGTGGGCTGATGATGAGGTGAAGCTACTCCCTCTCGCCAGGAAGCAATACATGGTGCATACATCTCGCATGACCTCGTCTCACGATCTTGAGGTCGAACACCAATATGTTAGCGGAGGTGTAGATAGCAAACTTCCCTCGCGAGGACCGCTGGCGAGTGTGACTCCAAGACTATTTTACCCCAAGAAGATCAACCCGACTATCCGGAATCTCTTGAGTGCCACTGCTCTTAATCATGAACTGTTTGCAGCTTGGTGGAGTCGAACCCCTATTACCAAGGACTTCTGGATTGAGACACCAAGTGCCTTTGTGAGAATCCACGTAGTTCCCAGAAAAGGACTGTTCGACCCGAGCCAATGGAGCACCGATCAGATCCACATCAAGGAGATGCTTCTTGACGCCATCGGGGAGATGAGGTGCACCTCGGCAATTTCATGTGGGAGTTCGCATGCGTTACATCAAGTGCATGACGCATGGAGAGGGGAAACGAGTTCACAACATCCAGTTCTATGGGTCGGCAGGACTGTTTTCTCCCGAGCCTCCTGTAGCACTCCTTTTGAAGATTCCCTCTCGAATCCTGCGGTTGCTCCTCCCGAAGATGGCCTCCTCATCCGAGACAACGGGGAATGTGTGGCACATGACGAAGGCGCAGCTCATCTCGAAGGCGATGGGCATGGGGATCACGATCCACCAATCTTGGAGTGTGGGCGAAATTCGCCAGCTTATCCAGGAGAAGAAGAAGGCCATGGGCGAGATCTCAGAGATCCCGAAAGGGTTGGCATCCATGAACAAAGCCCAACTCCTAGAGCAGTGCCGGTTGTTGGAAATCGAGGTGCCCGAGAAGGCGACGAATGGCCACTTGACCCTCCTCATCCGGGACTGTTGCACCAGGAACAAAGGGGACGCGGTAGTGAGTTTCGGGCGGCACCGCGGCAAGTTGTTCCGGGAAGTACCCCAGAGTTATCTTCGCTGGGCTTTGGCAGAGGTAAAGGAGCGGGGCCCGGAAGGGTCCAGCCCGGACTTAGTGAGCCTGAGCAGGTTCGCGGCGCAAATCCTCCAGGAGATTCCCGAGGTGAACAACAAGGATCCGGAAACGAACTCCATGGTGCCAGTGCCGCAGGACTTGGAGTCGGTGGTGAGCTGGGGATCCGAGGGGTGGAGCGAGTTGTCTCCCGAGGCCCGGAAGCTCAACGGCCAGGCGAACTCAAGGCAGGTGTCCATGGCTGCGCCGAAGAGCGCTACGCGGTCTCCATCGGTGAAGCGAACCACGGATCATCAGGGCGAGCCCGGGAAGGCGATGATGAATCAAGATGTGCCTCCGGAGGTGAAAAAGGAGATCGACGAGCTGATGGCAAAGGTGGCATCGCTAAAGGATCGCTACAATCTCTAAGTGGGGACGCCCATGGGGGTGATAGCTCTGAGGATGAAGACCTTCAGAGCGAACCGGATTTCGAGGTTGAGACCCAGGAGATCCATGTCCTCCCCGGGGTACGTGATGTGGAGATTGCGTCAGGGGAACACTGCCAGGCTAGTAGAAAGCGCAAGATCATGGATGGCACGTGCAGTGTGGCCTTCGGGGCCTACTCCCATGGGAACCACTATGGGGTGATCCGGCGCACGTATCAGCATTGGTACGTGACGAAGTATGTGAATGCCTTCATGCGTTTCCATGGTGCCAAGGGTCAGTGGAGTAGTGTGCAGTTGTGTTTCAATTGTCATGTCGGTCCTCACAAAGATGTTCACAACCTCGGGGACAATTGGACTATTTCCTTTGGGGACTTTGAGGGCGGACGTCTTTGGCTAGAACACAACGACCCAACCAAGGTTCCAGACGCCATTGAGTCCCGCGAGGCGATCCTTGCCGACGGCTCCAAGGCGATCGGATGCTTGGTGGATACAAGACATAACATGTACAAGTTCTGTCCCAAGCGAAAACATGCCGTAGAACAAGGACAGGGAATCGTTGCAGCATCATCGCCTATGTCACTCGTGGGATTGGTGAGCTTAGCAGGCCCGAACGTGATGTTCTTAGGAGCTCCGGTTTCCCTTTGGGCAGAAGTGAAGGTGCATGTGCTTGGGAGAAAGAGCATGAGACGAGGCCGAAGAAGAGCATTAGGAAGAACCTTTGGAAGGGAGCTCGAAGGGCAAGTTCGCTCCTCACTCTCAGTCTCGCAGCGGCATCGTCGTTCATCTCAGAAAATATACCCTTCGGAAAACCACCACATCAGGCATGCCTCTTCGAGATCGGCGGCAATGAGTTGACGCTGGACATGATCGAGGCGGGTTTTCAGGCCATCGAACCTCTCAGTTGGGGCGACTATGTTGATACTAACCATGCTCTGAAAGTGACTGACGTGATCAACAATCTTAAGCCCAATGTCGTTTGGTTTCAAGGTTGTGATGAGAGCAACAATTTCATTGAGCAGATCGTGGCCACTGCCGGACAGCAGCTAGAACATGGAGGTTCTGTTGTATATCATGCCGACAAGAACGATCATGTCTGGGAGAATAGGATCATGAAATGCTTCATGAATGAGAACACTCATCTTCTAGAAGACCAAGGTGAAGCGTGGCTTCTTCGTGTAGGGGGAGTACTTCATGATACCGGAGATTCAGGCGGAGAATGCGGCGATCTTGAACATGAGGCGCATGTTGTATCCCACGATGTTAAGAAAGATCGACACGAACCCTTAGGTGCATCAGCTATTCACTTCAACAAGAATGTGCCGAAGCATGTTCAGGCTGCATTGACCAGGCTACATCAGAACCTAGGGCACCCAAAGATCACTGACCTAGTTCGTCATTTGAGGTTCGCCGGTGCTGACGATGAGGTGATCAAGGCCTGCAAAGGGATGCGATGCGAAGTTTGCGATCGAAACCAGAGGACCGGGAGCGCTAGACCGGGGGTGCTACCTTCACTTCTAGACATGAACCAAGTGGTCAGTGTCGATGTCTTTTCGGTCTTCGACTCGGATCGTGTGCAGCATGAGTTTCTTTCAATCATTGACCACGCCACTACATTTCACTTGGTGTGCGAGCTTGAGGGTCACTCCGGCGAGGATTTCTGTAGGCAGTTCACCCAACTCTGGGGAAACGTTTTCGGGGCTCCTGGGACAATTTCAGCGGACTTAGAGAGCGGGCTCCAGCTTGGAGTTTCCAAGTACGCGGAGTTCCACGGGTGCCGGGTGAGATCCTCAGCTGGACAAGCACACTGGCAACAAGGGGGTAATCGAGAGACACGGTTACTGGTACCAGGAGATACTCCAGAGGGTCATTGATGAGAAGTCCATCACGAGTGACGACATGTACATGGCGGTCCAGGCGGTGAACAGCGCTAAGAATGAACTTCGACGTAGACATGGTTTCTCCCCTACACAAGCCGTATTCGGTAAAGATCCCAGAGCACCCGAAGAACTAGAGTCCGGAGTTGACGAGGAGAGATTCATCGAGATCATGTCCGGTGACCAACGACGACAACGTGAAGTTAGCATCAGAGCCTCGGCACGCATGGCATTCTTCAGGACTCAGATCGACTCGAAATTTCGCAGAGGGATGATCCAGAGAGCGCGTGTCAAGAGAGGCGGTTATGCGGTCGGAGAGCTTGTATGTTTCTATAGGATCGAGAAGATTGCTACAAAACGTGGACAATGGCGGGGACCGGGCACCATCATTGGCCACGAAGGCGGCAATTGGTGGGTGTCATTCGGGGGACGTTGTCACTTGGTTGCCGAAGAACACTTGAGGCCGGCTACCTCTGAAGAGCTCGGAGAGCTCTTCTCCACCAGGATTGTGAGGGACGATTTGGAGAAACTCCTCGAGTTGGATCCTTATGACCCCGACACATACCAACCCCCTGATGAAGAGATCCCAGAGTTTGAAGATCCGTTCCAGGAGTTCCCAAACAACGACCTCGAGGACATGGACTACGAGCCCAGTCTCCCCGAGGAAGATGGACAGGACATGGTTGTAGATGACGATGTTCGGGGTGCTAAGCGTGATGGTGATCCTTCTGATGTGCCTCCTGTTGTCTCTAGACGGGTTCGAAGAAAGGGCCAGGGAGTTCGTGTTCATTCAGCCAACATGTTGAAGCGGTGCCAAACGGAGCGAGCCCTCGAAAAGCAGCTCGAAAAGGAGATACCTTGGAAGTTGGTGCCTCCTGAAGAACATGCTGCATTTCGTGCCGCGGAACTAAAACAGATGAAAGAGCACTATGAACATGATGCACTGGAACCTCTTTCGGTCGAAGAATCCGCCGAGGTGAACGATCGTGTACACAGCAGCAGGATCCTCTCTTCGAGATTCGCATATCGAGATAAACATTGGAGTCGTCGGAAGATCGATGCGAGTGTTCCTTGGAAACACAAAGCACGCTTAGTAGTCTCAGGACACAGAGACCCAGACATCCAACACCTTGAGACGGATGCTCCCACCATCGGGCGCCTCACAGTTCTCACTTTGCTGCAGATAGTAGCCAGTCGTCGTTCGAAGTTAGGATGGATGGCATCAGCTGGAGATATCACAGCGGCATTCTTGAACGGAGACCCGTTGGAGAGGGAACTGTATCTTCGTCAGCCTAGAGGTGGTGTGGAAGGTCTTCTACCAGAACAGCTTTTCAGGGTGAAGAAAGGGATATTCGGGCTACCCGACTCGCCTAGGAAGTGGTGGCGAAGATTGAGGCGAGATATGCTGAGCATCAAGATCGATTTCCAAGGACTGACTCTTCGGTTCACACAATGCCCCTTGGATCCATGTCTATTTCAGCTGTGCGATCCCGAATCTGGCAAACCACTCGCTTATGTCGGGGTTCATGTCGATGATCTCTTAACGGTAGGCCCTAGAGACCTTGTGGGCTGTATCAAGAGCTCGCTGTCTGCAGTATTTCCAGTGGACGACTGGGAAGACGACATGTTTGAGTACATCGGATCTCACGTCAAGGTCAGCGAAGAGGGCGTCTTTGTGGGTCAAGAGTCTTATGCTAGTTCCAGGTTATTCGAAGTTGAGGTACAGAAGGGTCAAGATGAACTGGAACAAGCAACAGAGGCGCAAAGGGTCGACAACCAATCCCTTATTGGTGCCTTGTCCTGGTTGAGTGCACAATCGAGACCAGATCTTCAGTGCAGTGTGTCACTTGCGCAACAACTCCAGAAAACCCCGACGGTTGAGGATATTAAGTTCACCAATAAGATCGCAAAAAGAGCTTGGGAGCACAGGGATAAGGGCATCTGGCTTCGTCCACTCGACTTGTCATCCTTGGAATACTTAGTCTATCACGACTCTGCCTGGGCTAATGCACTGTTGGAAGGGGAAGAGCACTTTATTCTGAGTCCCGAAGATCATGAAAAGGGGACTATGAAGGAAGGCCCCTTCGACAGGAAGGCACGAAAAGCCAAGAAGGAGAATTCCAAGGTTGCTAGCCAAATGGGCATCCTCACTGCCCTCGCTGATGCGAACGGCTTCAGAAGTGGAGGCGGCGAGGCTAGCATCATCGATTGGAAATCTACGGCCAATCCTAGGGTATGTCGATCAACCTTCACGGCCGAGACCACTGCCTGTTCCGAAGCCGTGGAGATGGGCCAGTATGTCCGCTCATTCGTGGAATCAGTGCTACACGGAAGCCTGAAAAAGATTAACGATGTTGCGGGATCCAAGCTCAGATGCCTGACAGATTGCAAATCCCTCTATGATCATCTTCACCGTGAAGGAGTACCGCGGGTTCCGTCAGACAAACGCCTGGCTATAGACCTAGCTGCTCTTAGACAAACATTCGACCTGGAGCGCGTCCGGGATAGAATTCCTCTTTATTGGGTGCCAACCGAGTTCCAGCTCGCCGATATCTTGACTAAGCCGAAAAGTCCGGATGGCTGGTGGGACACAATTTGCAGTTGCATCCGATTACCCTTCGCCAAGAGAGTAGGCGAAACTTCCGAATAGGAGGACAGAACTTTTAACCTGTGTAAAACCAATGCCCCTGCTGCAAAGGATGACAGCACAAATCGGAGGCCCCTGCCGCAAGGACGACAGCACAAATCTGAGGCATTCTGGTTCGCGAGAAAAGGCTCCCCCGGCGGGGGTCTTCACTTCGTAGGTTGGGGGCTCTTCGGGGGGCGGTTGTAAGCTTCTGCAGGGTCTAGGCCAGGGTCCCGGCGCTTTTGAGTTACGTCTTGTCGTTTTACATTTAGGGTTTAGGGTTTAGGGCTTTAGGGGTTTAGGGTTTAGGGGTTAGGGGTTTCGGGTCTAGGGTGGCGGGGTTCAGGATTTGGAGGGTCTAGATCTTTAGGGTTTAGGGGACCAACAAAACCCTCAAAGGGCTCCCCCTAGGGCGTTCTATAAGGGATATCTGTGGGTACTGGGTTCCTGAGTAGTACTCTTTTGCCCTTTTTGTTATTCTAGGGTGCTCTTTTTAAAGCGGAATGGTAGGCAAAAGGATGCATTTTTTTGAAGGGGCTACTTAAGGAACCGAGAGTTTGGGGTTGAGGGGTTCAGGATTTTAGCTCTTGAGGGTTCGTAAAGTTCAGGCTGAAGTTCATAGTCATACTGTGGATGATATAAATCCTGCAATACCTTAAGGACCCTAGACTATGGGAATTATGGTAGCTTCCTTATTATGGGTAATGCAGGATTTATATCATCAACCCTAAACCCTAAATCCCCCTACAGATCCCTTAAAGGAGGTCCTGAAAGGTACCCTTATAGATCCCTTGAAAGGAGGCCACTTCCCAACCAGAAGCCCTGGAGTTGGAGAGCAACGAAGGAGGTTGCGCAAAACTCAGGGAGTCGAGACGGAGGGTTCCAAGTTGTTGGGGCTTTAGGGTTTTAGGGCTTTAGGGCTTAGGGCTTTAGGGTTTTAGGGTGTCTTTGTTTGGGGCTTTAGGGTTTTAGGGTTTAGGGTTTAAGGTTTAGGGCTTTAGGGTTTTAGGGTGTAGGGTTTAGGGTTTACCTGGAACCCAAAAGTATGTAGAATAGTAGCCTTTTACAGGTATTGGGCCATTATTTTGCCTACATGTGGGGGTCTAAGTAGGGATGAAGCTTTAAGATGATCGTTTTTGATTCCTAAACCCTAAACCCTAAACCCTATGTTAGGATTGGGGTTTCAGTATTTCAGGTCCTGGCTTTCAGGACGTTAGGTGATTGGCTTTTGAGGTCTAGGGTTTAGGATTTAGGGTTTTAAGGTGTAGGGTTTAGGGTTTAGGGTTTAGGGACTGTAGTCTCCATTGTAGTTCATTTTTGGTTTACCAAGATCTCTATTATAGGACCCTAACCATAAAACTGGTTAACCAATCAAAGGAACTACAATGGAGACTACAGGTAGGGCATCCACGCGTATAGTAAGTTTCGAGTTAAAGGCTTGAGGAATTCAAGTTACATCGTGACAACATCCTCATCCCCACGTACATGAAGAACAGAGGTGGTCGCAAACAGTACTAGTGTAACTGGCCTAGATGGCACAACTGAAGGCCGTTCCGACCACTTCTACTTCATGACAGAGCACATAGCACCTAAACCCCAAAACCTGAACCCTACACCCAGGATCTTAAACCCAAGACACCCTAAACCCCTAAACCCTATAGATACTTACTACATAAAACTCCAAGACCAAATCCCCCCAAACCCTCGGGTTCGACTTGGGGTCATTATCACTTTCCACGTCTTCCTAAAGCTTCAACCTTGACGCTTAAATGCTGGACCCTAGACTCTAATTCCCAAGGCCCCTAACATAGAACCGCATTTTTGAGCCCTTTTTCCGGAACCCCATTCTAGCTATCAAGGCCCCTTCTGTAGAGACGCTCCTAGGCACCAAGCTTGAAACACCTGGTTCATTCCAAGGGTAAAAGGAGGGACCCTTAATAAGGACCCCTAGGTATATACCCTTAATACAGCTATTACATACCCATTATATAGCCCACTATAGGCTAGGGGTCCTTATTGAGGCTCCCTCCTTTTCCCCTTTGATTCATACCACTCCTCAAGCCTCGACTCCTCCTAATGTAGGAACCTGATTAAGACCCCCTTGGCCTACAGCGCCAAATAGTCGGGCTCATATGAAGAACCCACATAAAGGCCCAAGGGTGCCTTAATCGGATTCCAACATCACTCCGAACGCTTCCATCTAAGGATGAGAGCGCAACGGCTGTCCCCGCTGCAGACAAGCTACGTGCCGGTCATTGCACCCTGGCGCACCCCACGACTGTGCCCTAAACCCTAAACCAGAACCCTAAAACCTTAAACCCTAATAATAAGGATCCTACTGTATAGTAGGATCCCCTATTTTCAGAAACTCCCATGTAGATCGTAGGCAGTCATCTGTCTGCAGTTTCGTGAAGTTTCACGACATACAGTCGTTTGGACCTTCCTTCAAGGAGCAGATCTGTGACAATCTGAGACTGTCAGGCCTCTACTTGGAGGATCACGGGACTTAGTAAGTAAGGTTATAGGTTCCTTAATTGGGGTTATAAGTTGTTATGAGTATAGTTACCCTAATAATAGCCTTAGTTACTAAGTTCCATGATCCTTTAAGTAGATGCTGAAACTTAAACCGTCTCACATCGTCGACCTCGAGTACATAATTGCAGAATATAGCTTACCTAGAGGCTCCAAAGTAGTTCCTTTTTGGGGTTCATATATAGAATCCTAGAAGGTAATCCCCAAAAGGAGCTACTATGGAGACTATGGGTATATACTGTACAGGGCTGCCAATGAGGAAAGTGCAGGACCCTACTAAAGCTGCCTTTGTGTGTATGTCCCAGGTGGTCTGAAGGTCTGAAGGCTACAATCCTTATGCGACAGCCTCTGTCGGGTCCAATATCCAATTAAGGAATATACCCGGAATTTTCGCCGGATCCTTAATATGAATCAAGGCATATTCCTTAAAAAAGGCATATCGGAATCCCTGGGTTCTTGATCAAGATCGACACTTCTGTCCTGTCTGGCAGCCCTGTCTGGAAATCGTGGAACAACCAGCCCTCTTTGGGTTTAGTGTTTTCCTGGGGATCCAAAAGCCGTGTCCCCGATCCCAAAGCCTATAACTTAGGAGTACTGAGAAATATTATTGACTTTTGGTTATTATAGTCCCTAAGAAACAGCTAAAATTATATTTTTTTGCTAGGGTTCTAAGTGCAGTAGGGATTCGGGGGTTAGGGGTTTGGGGTTTAGGGCCTCCCCCAGAAAGCCCATGACCCTCTCAGTCTCAGGAGCCTAAGAGTATAAACTCCAGCCAAGGAAGCCTGCGCAGACAGCCGTGATGGTGCTCAAGCCGAGAGGCTGGGAATGCTGAAGCTTTTGGTTTTGGTAGCTTTCACTGTTTACCTTAAGCCGGAATAACCTACCTTTTTAAGGACTTATGTAAGGAAATCATAATATGGAACCCTAAAAAGGTGTGATATTCCGGCTTAAGGTAGGGCTTGTGGGGTTCGAGATCCAAGTAGTATTAGTAGTATTACTAGTATTATTAGTCTTAGTAGTATTAGTTGTATTGTAGTATTGTCGTATTGGTAGTGTAGAGTTTAGGGTTTAGGGTTTGTGGGGTATAGAGTTTAGGAGCCAGCTTCATTCGCTTCTGCAGTGAACTCGAAACACTGAGCCTAAACAGCACCGCTACTCCTAGGTGGCTGCAAGAGGTGCGCGATGCCAACTTGCCGGCGACTTGGGCAGCGGCACTTAAGGATTTGGATTTTAGAGTTCAGGCTTTTAGGGTTTGGGGTTTAGGGTTAAGGGATTTGGGTTTAGGGATTTGGAGTTTTGGTGGGATTTCGGAGTTACGATGGGGCGATCATGCAAAGTACATAGGCTATGCCGGTAAATGGTCACTGTATGAGAATCGAACCGCGGCCTTTGCTAGGGCTCACTTGATGATGCAACCCCAAAGTGCACGTCACCAACCTATAGGACCCAGAGACTCCAACATCCCATAATTACAGAATACACCTTAAATCATATCAGGGATGCTACTGCTATTCCTGAATTGAGGGACTTTGGAGTCTCTGGGGACCCAACCCTCAACTCCGCCCCAGCACTAAACCCCATAACCCCTACAACTATAAACCCGAAACCCTTTGTAGGCGGTCGGCTAATTACAGACAAGCCTTCCGCTGAGGTGAACCATGTGCTCTACTCCTCGGCAGCGGGATTGCAATGGCTTGCTCAGGGCTTCAAGGCTTTGCATTGGGGTTCGGAGTGGAGCGCTCCGTATCTCCGAAATTGGGGTTGGGCTCAGGGTTCAGAGTTTTCGGCGAGGGGACTCAGGCACTTGGGGTTAAGGACGCAGGCTTCTTGGCCCTGTATGGAGTAGCGCCAAAGGCCGAAATTGCATAGTCTTTAGGCCTTCAAACGCCACAGCGGGACCAGAACTGAAACAATGAACCCCAAAGCTATGCTGCTGGGCGCACTTGGTGTCCGGCTCTGGTTGCCGAGGTTTTGAAGGCATACCGATATGACGAGCGCGGTGCGCTGAGAGTGCTGGAGGACATGATCCAGGCAGGGCTCTTTGACACAAACTAGGATGCCCAGTAGTACCCTTATTCCCTTTTTGTGGTCCTAGGTTCCTTATAAAGTTACCCAATACCAAAAAGAGAGGCCTTTTTATTCTTAGGTTACTGGGCATCCTAGCAAAAGTTTTAAATCGATTTGGGAATGTGAGCCTTATAGCTCGAGCGTAGGCAGAAGCTCTGGAAGCCCCAACCCCCAGCCCGTAAACCCACCAACCCTACGCTCGCTATTAAACGAGCTGCGGATCCAACTTGATTCTTACAGTCACCTGGACCCCCCAAAGTATGCAGAATAATGGCCTTTTACAGGTATTGGGCCATTATTTTACCTACCTTGGGGGGTTTAGGTAGGCTCCAAAAGCCGCTATGGGAGCCTGCAAACTTGAAGTTGGATCCGCAGCTCGGGGTGTTGTAGTATTCTAGTGTAGGGCCGATCAGGTCGACATGTGT